TTACAGAGAAAAATCATTTGTTTGATTAAAGGCTCATTTGAGTCATGTAATGGATAAAATAAAAGGGTTTAATGCCGACATCACAGCTTCTAAAACGATTAATGGTACAAATGCAAGGCCTGAGCCTCAATACCTGATACAAAAACGAGAGTGCCCTGAGCAATGTCACCTTGGTGACACGTAGAGAGTGCAGAGAGTGCTGGGGAGGAGTGGTAATGTGTCTTAATTGTATCCTGTTCCTTCTGTTCTCCTTTGCACTGTGTCATTCTCTAATACACCACCCGGGCTAAAAGTGGGCCGAAAATCTCTTGTTGCTTCAAATGCAGCATGCGCATGGACTTTAGAGAAACGTGTCTCCGAGATACTTATATACTGATCTCTGGCTGTGTACAAAAAGAATCGGCTAAGTTACCAGAGATAGAGACAAGCTGCAGATTGAGGGGAAGGCATATCCACTTGTAATGAAGAAAGCAGGGGCAGGAGTACATGACTAAAGCACAGACACCAGCAATTTGCCTTATCTGGCTTGACAGGCTCTGGAGTGGAGGCAGAGAGAGAGAGAGAGAGAGAGAGAGAGAGAGAGAGAGAGAGAGAGAGAGAGAGAGAGAGAGAGAGAGACAATTTTTGCTCAGGTCTTTAGCCACACAGAACGAGAGAAAAAGTCCTCAGATGTTGGAAGTGCTGCGAAAATGAAGCGGCAGGCACAACAAAGAGAGATAGCGAATGTCTGGAGCAAAACCGCAGCTGCAGAGGACCAGAGCTTTCTAACATGTTGGGTGAGGACATTAGTCAAGGTTTACAGCATTAAATAATCAATACTGGAGCAGCAATGAAGGCAAACAGTGATATTTGGATTCATCTTCATGCCGGCTGAAGGATATCGAACTGTATTCCTTGCCCAAAAACCCACGTGGGCCATACATCTCAAATGTCAAAAAGTGCAAGACTGAATAATTCAGTTTGGATTCAGAAAATGTAAGGGGATAAAAGTATGTGCTGACACCCAGTCTCTATAATAAAAATGAATGTGTGAGGGGGATAGGATTACAGATAGAGTAATGATACTTTGATGTGAACACAGTATAAACCAGCGAACAAAGGTCCCTAACAAAAAGCCTTGAAGAGCTCACTGTCTTTTGGTTGAGCTAATGGGATTGCAGCATGGAACACTTTTGGCAAATTGATTAAGCTCCTGTCATACGAGGGTAAATGAGACAGAGCAACGCAAGTTTTCATAACTATTTTTGAATCTTTCAAAATGTAGTCAGACTTAGCAATTTATTTTTGGTGCGGGTGAGAAAGCCTTGGGGAGGCTGCAGCATTAACTGCACACGAAGAACTCGACGCCAGCTGCTTGTTGTTTCATTTCTGTCATTACTGTTCCTATGTATAAATACAACCCTGTACATAATGATTTTCCATGCGCAGTTACATCCAATGTTCTGATCAAGCCAGACACGCAGCACAGCTCAGTCTAATAAAGGATGCAGCATACATTAGCATATCACACATGCTGCATCTATCTGTTGATCACATAAGCAGCTCACAACATCTTCAGCTCCAACTGTGACGCTGCCACAGTGAAGGCTTTGGAGACGGGTGTGCTATACTTTGAGACAGGTAGGATGAAACAAAACGCACCAGCAGCAGTCGAGCTAGAGGCAGATTCTCCGTGTTCTTTTGCACACTTCACAAACTTCATGTTTTGGATGGCTTGACAGATTGGGTTCGGCAAAAGGCCCTTGTGTCTGTTCTTTCAACTTACAACAAAGAAGCAGGACAAAGTGGCACCGGGGTTTGAACAAAGTGAAGGAAGACTCGCTGACATGTTCTCCACAACCATATCCGACAAAAGACGGTGTCTGCAATCTGTGAGATGTGGAAAGACCGTAATGATATTACTGTGCAAACCAACTGAGTATTGTGGGGTGAAAAGTGTTGCCCCTGCCAATTGTGGGTGTGCATGTAAGATGCTATAAAAGACTACGTTCAAGATGTAGGCAGAATGTAATTCTAGTTGCAAAAGCATTCCTCCCTTAAAACACAGCTTCTCTGTTTGCCAAAATATGTGGGAACAGAAATATTTTCTGAGGTTTTCTTAAACCGACCGGGCCAAAGAGACAGTGGCTAAAGCCAGATTGACAGAGGAGAGGATATGCAGAGGATATATCAGGACGCTCCACCAGAGCTCATGTAACCCTCCCTCATAAATGTAACTACACATGAGGGCTGGGGAGATACCTAGCAACCACAGACAATGTGATTGGTCAGCTTGGCCTGCTTGCATTTTTCTCCGTATGTGTTTCTGATGGCAGTAAAGATTAGGAGAATTCATGTAGCAATTCAAATTCAATATCAGCAGACTGAACAGATATAAAAGCGGGAGTCTATTTCCATGCACAATTAGCCACAAAGGCACTTAAATAGTGTGCTGTTAGAGCAGTGAACCTTATTAACCTCTTCACACTCACCGGACCCACTGACTCATGAACTGAAACTATTTATTCACACTGAGGTGATAAATACATGCCACTTTATAATAATTTTCTATTTTGCGAGGAAACAAGCCGTTGCAAAAATGTGAGCTTCCGGCAACTGAATGATAAAATAAAATGTTTTAAGGGATTTATCCATCTATTGCACGAAATCCAAATACATGATTGACACAAGATAATAGCCGATGATAACACACGTGTTGCCAGTGATTTAAAGTTACTTAATTTACTCAAGTATTGTAATTAATTAACATTTTGAGGTTAATGTTATTTTTTAAAATGTTTCCATTTCCTGTTACAGTACATTAAAGTCAACATTTTCTATATTTTTATTTTACCCCACTACATATATGTGACCAATTTAAATACTTTGAAGATTCAGAATAACAAAACCAAATATAATCATCAGCATTTGTATGATGTTGTATAAGAGGTTAAGATAAATCCCTTTTAAAAATTATAAGCCGCACATTATTTACTGTAAATATATATCATGATACAAATACTTTTATAGGATACGTGAAGCAGTGTTTCCACTTGGTGGTTCTACTTTTCCTGAAGAAAAACCTCCCAGCTTTTTGCCTAATAAAAAACATGCCTAAAGCTACGTTTGCACATGTTTGCTGCTTTTGATATAACGACTTTATTTCAGCTTTATTTCTGTCCAACAAAGGTGAGTGAATTTGAAAAGAGTGAAACTCCTACAGTGTGGTGACCAGTACGACCTCTGAGTGAGAGAGTGTGGGCGGACGGTCCAACTCTGAAGAGTGGAGGTTTGTGCAAAAACAAACTAGGTAATGCTGTGTGTTTTGTGGGGATGTTAATACTGATACGATTGGACATAAGGTCATTAAGTCCAATCCTGATTGTCACATAATAGAACATTTTATCTTAAAATTAGATTTTGTTCCATAAAAAAGAGACTTTCTTGCTCTATCTCTGAATGAAAAGTTACATTTGAACGTTTATCAGCCTCAGAGCGATGACATTTGGTTAATCTGTTCTGAAGAATATTGACCTCTAAAAGCTCATGACCTGAAGATGGCTTTACAAAGGTAATGCTTTCAACCAGCCACTATTTAAGAACAGTTCAGAATGCATGCAAACATACTGCACTGTATCTCCCAATGCCACAGTAAACCACATGCTAGAAACTAATATGTGACTGTCTGGAAATCTAAAACTGAAAAGGTAAGAAATAAAAACAGCCACACCTAGTAATTATTTCAGTTTTAACATTTGCACTGCTTGTCGTTTTCCCTCCTGAATAATAGAAATAAAGTTGAATCAGAAGAAAAAAAATCAATCTCAACCAAGCCAGGCCCCTGAGTAGAGATGGCTATCGCTGTGAGAAACAACAAAGCAAGTCTGCAGACTCAGTGGCTCACACAGACACAAAAATCTGCCTGGAAAAACCTCACTACAGGTGTAATTACCAGTGTCTCGGATGCATTTGTTGTTCACACAAGCTCTTGCATTTTGTGTTCGATGCCGACAGAAAAAATCCTCTGTTTATTCCTGCAAGCCATTTGGGAAACTCATTTGGTTAAAGCTACAGTATCCATTTATCCATCTCTTGTATTATGACTTTGCAAATGCATACCAGTTCAATTGTAAAACAACTAGAAATTAGCAAAGCCAAACATTGAAAGCAAAATACGCATGCAAAAAAACAACAACCACAAAAACCTTCTTATCCAGTCACAATTTCTAATTTGACAGTGTGAGACTAAGGACTCTGCTGGAGGCCACAAATCTAATCTTGACTATTTTAAAAGATGAAAGGGCCACAAATTGTGTCGGACAACTGGAACAATGATTTTGAGCTGGAGTGGATTTAATGTCAAAACAGCAGCCTGGCACACTGACAATGCCCACTAGCCCGAGGCCCACTCCTAAAACCGCTTTCTTATTACAGCCTGTGCAGCCTGTAACGCAGCTCTGAAATGTGCTGATTATAGAAAGCAACATCCTGACACTGTAACCCAGCAATGACTCTGACACTGTATGTATATGAGATAGTTTCATTATGCATGTTTCCCTCTCATGTCTGTGCACCAGCGCGACAAAGACAAACTCGTGTCCATTTATTGTACTAGGCGATTAAAGCCGTTCTGATTGATGAAAGGGCGAGAAATTAATTTAGTTTGTTGGATTAATGCTGGAATTAAACATGACGCCTGTTCATCAAAAGCACAAGCCTCCACGCGCAGCAAAAGGCCAACTTCTTCCTGAAATAGCTGAGCAGTTTGGAATTGTAGCAAAGCCCCGCACCCTGGTGACTTAGTCTCTGATTTATTCTGTCATTACTGTGAATGATCGGCCCTTCAAAACTCTCCTCTATTATCTGCAGACGGGATGACGAACAATATTTCATTTTGATTCAAGCATTTATTGCGGTGATTCTGGGTAAAGACCACCTGCCTGTAACCCTAAGAGGCCACCTATCTCTGCCCGGCATGCACACACATACGCACTTATAGCAGATATATGAGCATTTCTTACCGTTCTGGATGTCCAATATGTGGTGTTTGTCTAACATCCACCCTCCCATGGTGGATGCATCGAGTTCATAGCCTTGTAACACCGCAGTCCTCTTCTCCCAGAGCACCACATCAAGGCATGACTCGTATTCATATCCCACCGACACTGAAAGCAATGATGGCAGATTCCTATGGTGAGCAAGGTTGCAACCTCCTTACCTGACACTTATGGCAGCAATGAGGCTTGTAGCCCATAGGACATTCAGCGCACGTTGTGCCTGTTTTTTTTTTTCCCTGTACTCCCTGGTTCTGCTTTCTCGTTGACTATATCATTTACTCCAGCTGGGAGGATTTTAGAAGACCTGTGGGGTTTCTGTGCCTCACCTGCAGAGTTTGGATTGTATGCCTGCTCTTCTCGTTTGTTTTATCTTGTGTAAATGCAAATACACCACAATGCAAAATAGCGTGTGAAGAGGTATGAATTATTTAAACGATAACGTCTCAGATGGAGAACATTACAGTTAACATCATAAACGCTGCGATATGCTTGCCAGGAATGAATCCTGATTTTTTTTAGCGCTGCAAGGGTTGGCTTTCTGTAATAAATAACTCAAACATTCGTCTTTCTTAACAGAACTCCTCAGACTTTTTCACACTTAAAAATGATTTTTGTTGCAACACATTAAAGGTAGGCTGGGCAATTTATACTAGGAGTTATTTTGTATAGATTTGCTGAAATTCTCTTTACATCCCAACAGCAACATTGAAAGGGGTTTACAATGAATAAGGAAATCGATCTTGTGTATGTGTGGCTGTTTAGGCCGCTAATAGGCATATCTTGATATCTACAGCGCGCACTCTGCCTGTGAATGTATTGAGGTATATGGATAAAGATTGTGATAATAATAATGCACTGCACTTCCCTCAAGTGCTCTCTCAGTGCACTTACTGTACATGTGTTTTGGGGCAGTGGTTTTTTGGAGAATACTTTCAAAACAAACCTTAATCTTGTTGGGTTCTGCAAAGTTGCCTACCCTAGCTTTAAGATGCGGGATGGAGTAACTTAAAAAAGCCCTAATGTAGTATAACGTTCAAGACGACACTTAAATCATTATTTAAAAACATAAATAAGTTATTTTGTTCTGTATGATCTCATCAAATAGTCTGTTATCATTTGTGGGGTTTTTTCTCAGTCTACTGCTTCATAGGCAGAAACGTAGTCAGCTCGTGCTGCGGAAATATCATACATGCAAAACAAAGAAGTCAGCAAAAGAGCAGTGGCCTTCAAAAATGCAGCACTGGGGGGATTTCAGGATTTCACACCACCTGCTAAATCGTTATTGCATATGGTAACAAAAGCAGTCCCCGGATAAATAATCCTCAATTTAGAAAAATAAAAAAATCAATTCTCAAAAGTTCGACCAAGGTTCAGTGCCTGAAGGTAGAGTGAGCCTGTGAGTGAACCCACACTTACACAACATCTTCAGACAGCAGCTTCACAGCATGTACTCACCCATTGCCTCAGCGAGGCCAAAGACCCTCTGACTGTAGGCGTCTGTTTTATCCCAGATGAAGGTGTATGAGAGGTCGGGGAAGGCAGGGAAAGACTTCTGGAACTGACGGCCCATGACGGCCACCATCAGGTGGACCTTCATCAGGCCGAAGGGGAGGCGGTCCGGGGTCAGCAGCACCTTGAGGATGGGCTTGTAGCCAGGCGCCCTGGAGCTCAGGTAGACCAGGTTCAGGTCACTGCCTGGTATAGCAACTTGCTCATGAAGGACCTATGATTTTAATTAGCAGTCAGACCGGTGCCAAATACCCAGTGTGAGGTATGGACTTAAGGAACAGCGGTGTCTTGGCATCTTCCACTACACTGTATATTACGCAATACTTTTCTATCGCTTATATGTACGGATTGTGGTCACACTACCTCACTGCTTTGTGATTTGATTTTAATTTAAAAATGCAACTACTTAATAATGTACATATGTTCATAAATATATATTATAACAGTGAATTAGTCTATTATAGAGTATTTTAACTTATTCTGTATATTTGATAATGTGTACGGTTTATTTTATTGATACATGTATTTTCTACTGTGGATTTTGGTATTATTGTATTTTATTTTATAATCATTTTTACTTGTGTGTAATGCCTGTTAATATGCTGCTGTTACAGAAAAACTCATATTGGGATCAATAAAGTGCTGTTTATAGTCTAATCTAATAATCATAAATATACTGTATGTACAATTCAAACATTATGAATTTGTGTTAAGCAGTGAAATATATAAAACAAGTTATTACTTATGCATAACTACTACCGTACATCAGTCCAAATGACAACTGAGAAAACTTCACAGGCAATAAATGAATTCAAACTTTTACTTGAAAGCTTTGAAAGCCATGTATCTAATAATTATCTTGGTCGTACTCTCTTTTCATCTCAAAGTCCCAGTTCCCTTGACCAGCTTTCACCTCAGACTGCCACTGAAGCATGTCCACAATTCAGATTTCTCCCTCAAATGTAACAATGTTTTATAATTTCCTGCATAGCAATATTCAGGGTTTTTAAAAAAACTCAGATTTCAGCCAAACCGAATCCTGAGGCATAAAACCTTCACCCTAAGAATTTATCAGTATCACTGCGAGACAATTTATGGCTTAGTATTTGGGGAGATGCCTCAGTTCAATCTAAGCTCAAAGGCAAATGTGAAAATAAGCTATGGCAAAAGGAAGATAGCAGCATTATTGTTACTCTTGTTTGTGTATTTAAGACACTGCTGCTTGTAATGTTGGGATCAAACATGGGTTGAATTATTAAAGGCATTCAAAACAATCAGATATGAGCACAACAGTGGAATTGACCATAAAAGCTCCGTAATGAGATCTCCTTTGGGTCACCTCTGTGTCTCTCTGTGTCTCACCTGGGTCTCCGGGATGATGGGGCTGTCCTCGGGGGACGTCTTGTACAGAGTGGAGAGGGGCGTGGCCAGGATGAGGGGGTTGGGTCTGATCAGGCCGGTGAGGTAGCAGCTGGGGATGTCGTTCTCCTCACGCTTCATCACCACCGTGTCCATCACGTGGAAAACGTTCCAGGGCAGCCACACAGTGCGGTGCAGCGAGGGGAACGGGGCGCGCTCGTAACTCAGCGTCAGAGAAGCACCGCCATTGGCCAAGAGATCGAACCTTAACACAGCATCATCAAACCAAAAAAATATCACATATTGGAAAAACTATATGTTGGAAAAATACTGAATGTACTCTTTCGATATCAGAGTAGCACCTTATAACAAAGGCCCTACTGTAACTTGGTACGTAACCGGATGTATGATTATATAGAAGAAGCTCATGAGACACTGTGTTGAACATACGATAGCTATATTCCAACGATTAACATGATGGTTCAGCCCCTAGGGAGATAGGCTGTCATGTTTATTGCTTACGTGGGTCTTAGCTAATCTGAACTAAGCATAGAATATTGTCTTTGAACCGGTATAGATGTATCTTGTGACTGAATAACACCCTCTCTTGTATATAAGCATATGAAGGACACTGTTTGAGGAACTAGTTGTATGCTCTGTATGTGATGACTACTTCCATTCTTGCAAGCATAATAAATACATGCATCCTGATTATTGAAGCTCAAGCCGGTGACGAGTGAGATTTTCCCAACACTATATGAGCGGTATTTATTTTTTGGTAAATCTTTTTTTGCTCTCTTAAGGATTGCTAAGCTCTAGGAGCATGGTGTCAATCACTTGAGATCAACTAAACCACAAGACCAAATAGAAGCCACTCAGAAAGCACTGTTAGCTTTCAGATCAGACACATCCATGTTTGCTTGTTAAGTCAGAGGTGAGAGCCTTGTGCACGCAATCCGGCGCCAGAGTCCGAACGGGGTATAGTGAAATAGCCCCAACATGTAATGGGTTCTTCCAAGGCCCATGCTACTCATCTCAACAAAGTCTCATTAAAAAGGGGCAAAGTTTTTCCACAATCTTTCTGACAAACAGACAAACAAACTAATCCAAAATCCTAACCTCCTCGGCAGAGTTAAATAACAAAAACAAGGTACAAGTTGAACTTGGAATCATGTTTTCACTGCCCATGTTTCTTGCTCTGTCAGACTTCTTTTTGTCATTCTACAGAAAAGGTGGAAGTGCTGTCACTTACTTTTGCAGACACCAAAATACATGACGTTGACCTAATACTCACATTCATTATATATGTTGAATAAATAGAGATTGTCTTTGCAATGGTACTAAATAAAAAATAAAATAAAAAATGGTTTTATACGTAAATTGCAATTTATTTAAAATGCCAAGTTCAAGGAACTGCCTCGTCACTTCGATCATACATGGAAGTGGAGCCTATAGTTTTAATTTAAAAGATTTTTTTTTCAATAAATAAATCTAATTTATATTTACATAACATTACAAGCATTAAATATAACACTGAAATGGTAAAAAAAAAACGAAAATTATTATTAATAATATCAAATAAATGTCAGTCACCCAAAATGACATCATTGGTGTTACTGCTACACAAAACGCTTTTATTTTTGAAATAATGTACTGTCTCTGAAGTGCTCCTGTAACAAGAGATCATTTGAGACAGTGCAGTGGACAAAGACATAACGAAAGTCAGATACTTCTTACTTTGTTTGTTAAAGGTGTCATTTTATTTTAAATTTTACGTGCGTCTTTCAAGTCTGTCATTAGTGTTACTCATTGCATAGCCCTAGGGGTGAACATTTGAATGGGAAAATGTATTGTATTGAAGAGTTAAACGATTTTGATATTGACTGAAGCCATATTTGGTGTGACACATTGCAGCCATTTTGTTAAAATGGTAGTGTTTTCTCCAAATTGTCACTGGTGTTACTCGTTACTCTTCTTCCTGGTAACACGTAACACCAGTGACATATACAAATAAGCTTTTTATAAAGTATAAAAATAATTTAAAAAATAAAAATACTTTAAGCTCTACTTGTTGTGGATTCATTAAGTTAAGAGTTAGTTATTGCTATTTAACAGGTTTTAGATTTTTTAGATGGAATATATTTCAGCAGATTTGTATCACCCAGATTCCACCTTTTCTGTAGAATGACTGTTAGCCAGAACTATGTCAAAAAGCCCTAAAGTTATAATAAACTGAAACATCTTTTTAAGTGCTGAAGAACAAAGTAAGTGTTCCATCTCATGACTTCAATGGAAAAGAAAACTTTCCCTTATCAATTATATTCCCTCTCTACAGCCTTCATACTTTATTATCATTCACTGAATCTAATGTATGACTTCTGTTTAACCAGGCATGGTGTGAGAAGACACTTTATGGTCGAATATGGTTTGGAGTCTTAAGTCTTAGGAGTTCATTCTGGTGAACTGTTTTTAATTAGTACGATATTACTCAGGGAAAACTTACTGGTTTGGAAATGAAGGGCGAGTCTTTGAAGTGCTGCTCTATATATTCTGCGAGCTCCACTACCCAGGGGGTAAATCATCTGTGTGGTGACATTGCATGCATTCACATGCACAAAGACACGCACTCGCAGATTTGAATGCTTATGCACGTCTCTCACACACACAGGAGGACACACACACACACACACACACACACACACACACACACACACACACACACACACACACACACACACACACACACACCAACAGTCAAGCTGTGCAGCTGACCTAAAACAGCTTCCTTCTCAAGCAAGCTCTCTCCACTTTGGGCAGCGAGGAGCTCACAGCTGCAAGAGGCCAGGCTTTGATGCCGCCCCCCCCTTCTTAACACACTGAGCGGATCTGTTGGCTAACCAAGTGTGATTATCCCCAACCATTTATCACGCTACTTGTCAGAAGAGTTACAGGGCGGAATATCTGAAGAAATCAGCTAAGCCTCAGCTATCTGGGGACCCAAGGATTGTGCCTCATAACAACAGCTGTACATTCTGTTCCACTTATAAGCCTTTTATTCCATACTGGCAACACATGAACACGCGTGCCGCTGAATTTGAATGGGCCACTATCTCTGACCAGCATCTGCAAAATAAACCTCCTACCTGAGATGAACCCTTCCTGTAAAATATGTGTCATACATTTGTGTCGTATGTGTTTGCACCCTCATTATTAAGGACCCGTCTGCGGTAACAGCAGGAGAAGGTCAGACAGTAATCCCATGTTTTACTACACCGCGGGCAGATTGATTCTACCCTTGCTGATTCAATGCATTTTAAACAGCCTGGTTCAAAATGGCCACTACCACTGTGACATTTGCATGAGGAATTGTTCTAGGGCACAATGTGCAGTCGTTTCAATTTGTTTTGAGTACTTTTTGGATAACTGCCAGGACAACTCTGCCACTGTTGGACAGCTTTCCCTGCATTTTTCCATACTGTTCTCGGGATAGCAGCCAATGCCACAAATACATTTTTGCGAGGGCGAAAGTTGAACCCTAATGGCTGAGAATCCTGCTGGAGGGTGCTCATTTGGACATGTAAATCAGTGTTAACAAATGCAGATGGATGGCTGTTAGTCCCTGAATGTTGCACCTACTGATGCATGTGTGCACAGAGTGACTCTCTTACATGCCGTCCTGCCGGGTGATGGTGTAGCCGTACTCGGGGTAGTGCAGAAAGGACACGTTGACTCCGATCAGCGGCGTCCCGTCTCCCGTGAGGACCTGACCTCGGATGACTGACGCCAGGCTGTGTGGGCAAACAAACAGAAAGAGCTGAATAAACAAACAATGCCAGCCGGAGACAACACGGAGCCACGGCACCAACAACTGCCATCCCTTTGCCAGTGGCACCAGCAGGGAGGTATGATTTACTGAATGCTAGGAACCAGTGTGCCAGGGGATGTTATTCATGAAAATGTCACCTTACAGAGCACCTCTCCGTCTCTGTTTACTGCTTTAAAAGCCCATAATTCAGTGTGATGAGATTTTCCAGACATGCAGGACTTGTTAAGGTTTTTTGCAGCTTCTTGCACGTGTATTGCAGCATTTATATTCCATGAGCACACAGAAGTGGATGCATATTTGTTCTCACAAAAAAAAATGTTATTTGTTTAAAGACAAACACAGCTATACAAATGTACAGATCTCAGGGCAATTCAATTTGTGAGGCAGGCAGAGGAAACAGTGTATTCTTCACAAGATTTACTGATCAATTATCAGTCTGGGTAATTAAGTCAGTAAATGAAGTGCACAACAGAAGGCATTTCAAATGACGATATGTGAGAGAAACATTGACAGCATTGCTATCACCACGACCTTGCAAGTGTTTTGCTTTCAAAAAAGAGCTTCTTGTCAGTGTCATACCCGAGTCTTAGCTAGCGTGATAAATGTGTGTGGTACTGTGATGAAAGATAATATATAAACAATAATTTTTTTTAGAACGAGCTCTTCAACTCGGTAACAGATATCCTCTTGATGTGAGAAGTTGAAAAACTCGACGACTGACGTGTCAAGAGGCACTTCAGAAAAAAAAACAGGAATTCAGAAAAACAGAATGTGATGCCGCAGGCAGGCAAACTGTCACAAAGAAAAAGGATTTGGAAAAAGGATTTGGAAAAAGAAACGCAACCATACAAAAGAATCACCACAGCACTTTAGAACAGGTGAATCATAAATAGGGTAAGTGTGAAAAGAAAATGCATTTTGATTACAAGAAGAAATTTAAAATGTTCGGCAGTGAAAAGTCAGAATGTGAAGGTTTTTCTAAATGAGACGGAGGAACAACATGTCCCCCTTTAGAAAGAATAAAAGCTGGAGAGGCTTTCTGAACAAATCACCTCTTTTCTTCCAGACGTTTTTCTGAACTGTCACACCTGGTGGCTGCCTTATATAACCCGCCTCCCACTGCTGGTCAAAGAGCAGGTAGGGAGGGCTAAATGCTGCACTTAAGGGCACCTCATGGTAGTTAGTCTAGCATGGGGGAGCATTACTCATTCACAATGCTCACCCAGATTCTCCCTGCTGGCAAATGGATTTGCTTCTGGTCAAAAAGCACTCCACCTCCAGCATACCCTCACCTGCTTTCACCGAGAGAAAGATGTGTTTTCTTTGGCATTTTGTCTCCATAAATCACAGAAACGGAAGCTTCATACATGATTCAAGCCTCAGATATCTTCTGTGATTATTCAACATGACTGCAGGGCCTTCAGGTAAAGCTTGCTGCTGGTATAATCTTAAGTGTGAAGTCATTATTTTGAAGTCAATCCTTTGTTTGAAGGTAAGAAGAGGAGACAATTGGATATTTCTGCGTCAACATTTAATCATCCCCTTCTTCTCAACCAGAGCAGAATGTTAAACGTGCTCGTTCTACATTTTTCACTGGTTGGCCAAAGATGTCTCATTTTGCCACTTTATCTCCGGGTCATTACGTATATGAGACTGGGATGATCAACAGCTTTAGCCTCTCTTATTTCCCTCCCGCTCCACAGCCGTCTCCCATCCTTTATTTACCGGCTCAGGGAACAAGGCCACTTAAGAGCCCCGCCGAAGGTTCACTCTTTCTTCCCTGTGTCTCTATTAATCTTTTGAGAGCATGCTACAAGAGCCGAAACCCCCAAACAAACGGCAAGTCCCACCACCTGCTGAAACCCCAGAAATGAATCATATAATGCTTGCATTCTTATCCATCATTGTCTCACCCCGGCTGTAGAAAAACTCCATCTGAAAATCCAGCGGGAGACTTGTGGGGGGACATGTGATACGGCTGGGGGACCAGTGGGCAGAACAAAAAACACCAAACCACAAACACATGTTTTATTCTCTGTGCTATACGGGGGACGGGTTTACTGCCGAGTTGTGAAACCTGAGTGCACGCGGAAATCGACTCCGTTTCTCATGGTGCTCACAATGGTTTCTTGAGAAAATAGAAGGAGAGGAGTGACCTCTAACAGTTTTGCTTTTCTGTGCCGTAAGATATCAGATACTCCACGTCGAGGAATAAAAGTCACCGCAGCTGTTGGAAGTCTTGATGCTGTTCTGTTTCTGTTCCAGGGCTTCAGAGATTTTTTTTATAATGTATACTCTGCAAAGGCTGCCAATAAATGATTCACCCTTTAACCTCAAATGAACGTTTGAAAAATATGGGTCTCCAAACAAACTATGCCTATACCACCCTCTACATCGTTATGTGAATCTTTAAAAAATACATAATGATACCTTTTGTCGAATACATGCATATCTGCAGAGCCTATACAATGCACAACAGTGTTTTTGAATACAAAACTAACTTCTACAAGAAGATAAAAAGGAAAAATGAGTATTTTGAGCAAGAGAGCTAATGCCGCGGCCAGACATGAAATCGACAGTAAGCTGAAGACAATGAGGATGAGGATTATTGAGAACCCGGCTGGGAGGGGGGATTGCCTCATTCTATATTTTCAGTAAAGCATGCTATTTACATAAGGATTACTTTAAACTATTGGAGGAAATATTCCCAAAGCCTTCTGCACACAGTTGGCAATCATTTTCCTCTCCATCAGACTCAAATCAAACTCCACTCATGATTGAGAACAGATGTGGGAGTGCACTGAGGTTTTGGTAACACATGTAACTGTCTCCGCAGTTTGCACATGATGTAGCCCAGTGGTCCATTCAATGCATAACATCTTCTCTTACTCTGTATTAAACATCTATATTGAATGGTTTTACCTTGGATGAGGACATCAAAACTTTAATTCTTTCAAAGAAGCCGAGGCAAATGTGAGGTGTCAAGATGAACAAAAAGCCAGTCTCCACACTTGAAAGTGAAAGGCTGTATTCATGCCCATCAATGTAAAAATGTCCTTAAAATACCTAGACCACACTTTCTGCTCTCTATGTAGATATTGTATACTGTAATAGTGAGAAACTAGAAAAATATGCAATGATAAATACATTTTTATTAGAACGACACCATAGAAACAAGATAAAGGCACAGCTCTGTGAGTAGTTTAGTCTTTGTTAGTCTGTTCTGTTCATGATGAATGCAACTTACGCATCACTTAAAGTGGACCTATCATGCTATGTTTGAATAATATAGTGTAGGACCATACCTATATAAGGCATATACTTTTTATTTTTCAAAATACCAAACAGATCATGCATTTTAGCCATTCCTCATTTCGCTCAATTTAACACTGCCTTTGCATGGGCTGATTCTGTGAGAACAGCACCATCTACAGGCCTGGCATATGTACTACAGCCTCTCCAGCGCTTTCAAACGGCAATGTCCGTGGCTGTCTCCTCTTGATTGGTGGAGTTGGCCCAATAGCCATAGCGCCACTTCTGTGACGTCATAGGAGTGTTCAAATCTGGATCAGTCTGTATCAGATCCGTTGCAGCCCCTTTTTAAGAGATTTGGGCAGTGGAGGAAAATAGAGAGGGTTGTGTTTTCTGACACTTGGTGAGTTCCCTGGAACACCGGGGGAACATATTCATGTATAAAAGACGTACAAAAGTGCATTTTGCATGATAGGTCACCTTTAAACAATGTGAAATCTTTGTTTAAAGTCATTTTTGTGTTTGTTTACATCACGAAGTTCATCAAAAGAGAGTTGAGAGAGAGTGTGATGTTTATTTCACTTTTTTATGTTCTATTCTTTTTTTTTTAAATATTGATTTAGCAAAATAATCCGTTGCTAATGCCATATTTTCCTGGATTTCAAACCATTGCTGTTAAGAACACTACGGGTCTTGCAGGTTTGCCAGAAAATCCAGTATTTCTCCATCCATGCTGTTCCTGCGTCTGTCCCTAATCTTCTCCAGAATTCTGATGCTGCTCTTACGAAAGAANCAGTTATTCGTGGAGTCCTTTCCCGTCCTATCACATGATTCGGTTAGCAAGATAGAAAACCAAAACAGTAGTTAGGAGTCCACATGACCACTTGTTCTTACGTTTTATCACTTTATTTACAATAATATCTGAAACTCAGAAAAAATTGTATTTATACCTGTATATCTTCAGTGTGCTTTAATCTAAGTTAAAGTGGACCTATCATGCTATATTTGAATGATATAGTGTAGGACCATACCTATATAACGCATATTTATACTTTTTATTTTTCAAAATTCCAAACAGATCATGAATTTTAGCCATTCCTCATTTCGCTCAATTTAACACTGTCTTTGCATGGGCTGATTCTGTGAGAACAGCACCATCTACAGGCCTGGCATATGTACTACAGCGTCTCCAGCGCTTTCGAACGGCAATGTCCGTGGCTGTCTCCTCCTTGTTGGTGGAGTTGGCCCAATAGCCGTAGCGCCACTTCTGTGACGTCATAGAAGTGTTCAAATCTGGATCAGTCTGTATCAGATCCTTTGCAGCCCCTTTTTAAGAGATCTCGGTATGGAGGAAAATAGAGAGGGTTGTGTTTTCTGACACTTGGTGAGTTCCCTGGAACACCGGGGGAACATATTCATGTATAAAAGACGTACAAAAGTGCATTTTGCATGATAGGTCACCTTTAACTTTCCACATAGCAACATTTCCACGTGTCTGATAGGCCTACTTTGGTTGGCGTGTTAGCATGCTATCTTCTGCTGTTGGGAAATCAACACAAATGAAGAGTTGATGCTGATGGGAATGTAATTAGTTTTTGTTTAATTGCAAACCAAAGTAGGCCTTTCAGACACGTGGAAAGGTTGCTATGTGGAAAGTTAAGTGATAAGGAAAGTAAGATGCATTCATCATGCACGAAGGGAAAATGAATTTTTGCACAACATTTCCAAGCAATCCTTAAAAAATTGTTGTCAGGATTTTCACAATTAAAACAACGAGTCCACCTGCTGGTGGCGCTAGAGGAAAGGCAGGAGATCTCCAAAGCCAGCAGGATCCATCCTCTTCTAATGCACTCAGCTTTGTTTGATTGTTGAGTGCAGAATACAATTAACTTGTTGGCTCTTTGCACACTCTGGGATTGGGACAATTTTAATGTGGTTTACTGTTGGATAAACAGACTGTACAAAGATAAAAGCAACTTTAGAGCAAATATCAGAGATAATTTTGTTTTCTTTGCTTGTCTTAGATGTTGAAATATACTCTAAAATGGGCAGCACATTCATGATAAAAAAAAAAATGGGTTACTGATAAAGGATCTTCATAAATGTGCAGGGAAAACGGTTTCCTTTCCAATTTGGAAACGACATAGCCCTGTTATCTTGGAATAAGAAAAATGATCGTTATTCCCTCACAGTCATGAGTGTTGTTTTTAGCGAGGATCCAGATCACTCTTGAGCTTTTTAATCTTGACTGCTGAAAGACATAAACATGTGTGGCAGCGACACCACTGTAAACACACTTGTCACTGTGACTGCAAAGACAATGAGATGTGATGTCTTTTGACGTTTTGGAGTGGCTTCCCAGACACCCGTGTCTCCCGACTGGTAATGAGACAGCAAACAGCCAACGTGATGCAAATAATGAAGTAGCCACATTAAGCCGCCTACCTGCTGTTGAACGGGTTATCCCAGGGTATCACGTGACTGCCGCTGGGGCCAATCAAAAAGCTGACGCGGTCGTAGAAGCCCTTGGATGTGGGCTGGGTGGCTGAACTCTGGCTCTGGCCGGCGATGGAAGCGGGGTCAGGTGATCCGCGACAGTACGTCTGACCCTGGCACGAGACCTGAGTGCAGCAGTCTGGATCCATGCAGTCGACAAGTCCATCTGGAAAACAAGACGGACGGTCAATACGAGGAGGGGAACGCTTGGTTGACCTGGATGCATCCGGAAACGTGCCATTACTGTGTTGAGCTCTAGTGCACACAGATGCCTTCTAGTACGTGAGCTTGAGTTCATTAAAGTGAGATCCTGACACGAAAGTTTGAAGTATTTCAAAGTGTGTCACCTCAAAAGTTATGTGTGTGTTTATCAGCACTTTGTTTGACATGCAGCCCCAGAGAAGTGATATATACTCAAAAGTACTCTTTATAATTGATCTACTGTATATTTTAAACCGTGCTGTTTAACAATCTGCTCGGCTACAGCATTTGCATATTCTTTCCAGTGATGTTTTATGTATGATTGATTTGTTGTGTTTGTTTGCACTGTCACAGAGGAGTCGCATCAAAGCCAATTTTCTGTCTTGCACAATAAGAGTTACAGAGCGTTTTTTTTCTGAAGCTAAAAGACTATTTGTACGAGGCTTTTATAATTCCTCCTACCTCCCTCGTTATCCTTGCCATCTGAGCAGAGCGTTTCCGTGGCGACATCGCATCCCAACCCGCGCCACCCTGACTGGCAGATGCAATGCCAGACGTTCTGATCCAGGACGCACCTCCCGTTGTTGTTGCACAGCCCGGGGCAGCCGTCTGTCAACACATCATGTACGTGTCAAACAGCAGAGCAAGTCAGAACAAGGAAATCAGGAGGAGAAGGGGAAGTGAAAGACAAGAGCGAGGGGGGGCATTGAGAGTGGACAGTGGGCAGAGGAGGGACACAAATGATAAAAGACAGTATTTGAGTGAACATACAGAACAATACACCTCTGACAGGACTTGGGATGTGGGGGAGGGTGTGAGGAGTTACAGTTGTTTCACATGAGTTTATGGAGCATGTAGAACTCGGAGAAAATATTGGATAAAAGAAGAGGACACATGCTGAGCTGTTTACTTAGAGTTAAAAAGGCCAATGGGATACACTGTGAATTCATGTTGAGTCAAATCCGTGGTAATTGGAGGGTTTATATGTTGTCTTTAATCCATGTTTGCATACTTCTCTATGAGTTGTTTTCGGGTTGCGTGAATTCTCATAGTGTGATTTTCAAAATCCAGGGCAATTTTTGAGTTCGCTTAGAGAGTTCAAAGTTGCACAAATCCCATTTAAGAGGCTGAAAACCAGCGAGTGTCTAGGAACTTCCTTGGCCCGAAAATTATTTACGAAGGAATAGAATATTGCTGATGTTAGAAACACTCATGTGAAGTAACGGGCAACATCAAAGGGAAGAGGAAGTATATATGTAAATAGGAAGGGGAAGAAGTGTGGGAAGAAGGGGGAGGATCTAGAGTTTCTACATTTTTAGAAAACAGAGCACTTGCTGCCAGATCGCATTCCTTCTATTGGATGGTGAAGACAGGGAGCCGAAACATGACTAAACCACACCAGTTTGGGGCGTTTAATCTGGCAGACACAGGGAATTAAGACAGAGGGTGGGGGGGGGGAGCAGGGACCGTGGAGTCTGTGTGAGACTGGTTAAGACGGACAGGAAATGAGGAAACATATTGGGCGAGCAGGATCACAGCAGGAACATTATGATCGACTCGGACAAAGAACAGGTGTATAAACGCCGTGCTAGGAAGACAAAGAGCAGGGAGGGATTGTTTGTGACAATCTCCCTTGGGGGGATAGTGGTTCAATTTACCTTTATATCCTATCTTGACTGGTCCTATTACACAATCGAGGAAAAGGAAACATTTGGAAAAGAAAAATTACTTATCTCTTTGGTGGCAGAGAGCTAAGACTGACAAACACATTTCCTTATGTTAACTTGCAGGCGAGCACAAAGTGAGAACGCTTGCTGGCATAAAGCTGATGTACCTGCCAACTCGTTTGAAATACTTGGGAAAGAAGCTTTGCAGCTAGTTCTCCCGAAGATTATAGTTGGCTTTCGTTTTAGTTTCTGCTCTAATTTCAATCTCTCCACTGTGTATGGTAATCATAGTGGTTATGGAGATTGAGCTGAATAGCTATTACTAAGCATGAGTGACAGGATATGACTGGAAAGCTGCGAGCTCACCCCTTTTTTTAAATAATTTTTTTTACAGAGTTTACTTTTTTTAAGCGACATAAAGGTGTTCTGGATTTGAAAAAAAAAAAAAGATTGCATTTAAAGTATAATTCTCAAGCAAAGTGAAAAAGTGTTTTACCTGATACTCTGGAATCCAGGGCTATACATGTAAGCCAAGAGGGAGTTGGATAGAGATAGAGAGGTAGGCAGACAGGCATACAGACAAAATAGAAAAGAGAATGGATATAAGTGGGAGTTAGGCAAAGAAATGCAAATAGTAAAACATGTAGGAACATTTGAAGGAGTTTTATAGAGGGATAAATGAGACAGAACCTGCAGTACGGGAAGGAACAGCAGTATGTTCAGATGTTAATTAAAACAGCAAGTGATTCATCAGGACCGTATATATTCCATGTTCAAAGTTGTCTGTAAAAGAGTCTTCGATGGTGATTTCTGTTCATAGGAAGCAGCATAAATGAATTCAGCTTCTTATGCTTTGCGAAATATTCATTGTGCTCTCCATCTAATTTTCTTTGCCAAAACAAGACAGGCCAACACAAAGAAGAAAACTGGATTCCTCTTGATATCTGGTTGTTAAAACACTCTTTGTTTTTTTCAGACTATACAGTATTATTTCGTTTTTATCTTCACAACATTTTACTGTCTGCTTGTCAGGAGTTATGTCGTCTAAGTCCATTCTGAACGCATCATGAAGCAGCAGCATGATAAAACATTTTTTTTTAAAATGTATTTCAATGTTGCCTTCATCTCCACTCGGGTGATTTCAACAACTGCACGGCAATGAGCCAGCAGTACACTAAGACGAATCAAAAAACACCTTAGTGGTAAAGTGTAGTGCTGAGAAAGCGGAGACAATGGGGTTAAGCCTTGCATATAGAATAGGATCTAGATGCTGGTGACAAAAGAATGGTCGAGGAAGTCCTCTATTCAGGCTCTGTCCATGTAATGTGATTAAAAGGTGCTTTGTGCAAATGGCAGTTATTCAGGGTTTGAAAGACAAAATAAGCTCGCGCTCTCTTAAAGAAAAGGTAACGCACGGCCTATTCATCTCCACTGAAGCCAAAGCAAAGTTACTTTCCTTGCAGGAGCCTTACACAGAAGGAAAAGAAAGAGAAAATGGATGGGGCCGAATCAGCCCTGAGGAGGGGAAGATTAATACGATCAGGAATGTGACCTCTCCAACAACTCCCTCTCCGCATCCCCTCTCCCCCTCAGAGATGGATCCGCACTGTGGACCGGGGATTGCTGATGAGAGAACTTGTAAATACATAATTAGGGTTCAATAGTTTGGAGTGCCAGATCTCTGTTTAACTGGGAGTGTGTCGTCATTGAGAGGTTGGAGATGACACTTGGGGGAATGCTGTTTGACGCGGCGTGTCAGGGTTTAACTACAGGACCTTTGACAGGGGGTAAGGTGTCAAGGAAGTTTGAGTTAAAGGTCAATGGAAAATGACATCTCAGAACTCATTATCCTCACTAATGCCAGGTGAAGCACCGCCATTTCAGAAAAAAATGATATTCCAAAGAGGCCTAGCACCGGCTTTTCAGCTCCCTACATACCTGCCCTTGACTCACTAATACAGGAGCATCACTTCAAAGTCTAAAAGGTGGAATATCTAAATGGTCGATGGGAAAATTACAAAGTTGATGAGGAAAAAAAAGGAGATTTTGAAAAGAGAGAGGAAAAGCTGGCCGAAAGCAATGATGTGTCACATTTCCTGTTAGAGGGAGAGATGGTTAACAGCTTACATCAAGATTAGATATCCTCCATTTTGATATCAATTCAATGAAAATTGGTCGAAATAAATTGCCACTATTGAAAACTGGTTGGACTCGTACCCAATTCATTCAAACCTTTACACCTGCCATAAGGTCTGGTGTTAGCTGGCTAAGAATAGCTGGCAGGTGAACAGGTAATGAGGCTTCAACAAGCAGAGACTGAGATTTTCTTGTAAAAAAATGGAATTGTTAAGAAAAGGTAATCATGGCGAATAATTTTAAAAGGCAAAACCACAATATACATATAATTCTTCAGCAGTAAAAGTGATGTATCAAAAGGAATGTTAACAAAAAAGCAAAAGATGATTTAAAAAAAATGTCAATACTAAAAATAGGTCTGTAGTGTGTCATTTAGTGTCAATGTTATATATACCTCTAAAGTGTGGTCAATATTGATATTACTGTTCATAGTGTTTATACCCATTAATATGTTCATCCTGTATATACTTTATATCTGTCATACATTATGCCTATCCATTAAACTGCACCTTACTTCTTTTGCACTTCTGATTAGATGCCAACTAATCTTTCCATATGAACTCTCGCGGAGTAGGAAGTACAATGTAAATATTACTTCCCCATTGTATTTGAGTATAATGTTTGATTAAATGTTTTGTTATCTCCACCAATGACTGTGGTGTTAATAAAAAAAGGCAAATCAAATTATGAAGATCTTGGCCACAATGTTTTCAGTGATCTTAAAACCCGGCGGCTTACCTCTTAGCAGTAAAAAACCGACACTACAAAGTACTTTACTGGTTTTTCATGCAGAGGCACTTGTTGGGAGTAGGTGGGCAGCAACAGAAGCGTGTCATGATCCGTGTCTTTCCAACAGATGCTTGAAACTGCACTCTAAACACTGACATTCAAACTCCAAAGTTGCCCTTTTAAGCCTGTCCATAAATGAGTTTCCTCTGTAGTTCGTGCCCTTCTGTCAAGTGTGTGTAGGTGTATGGTGGCGCATGTGTCAGCGTGGCTCACCGATGGTGCAATGTTCACCCGTCCAGCCCTGATGGCAGTCACACTTGCCCTCTCGGCAGACTCCGTGGTCGATGCAGCGTGGGTGACAGTCCCTCTGCTCACACTCTGGTCCTGTCCAGCCCTCCTCGCAGTGACACACACCGCTGATGCACAGGCCACGAGGACCACAGTCCACCACACACACCTCTGTCGCAAAAGAAAAAAGCCACAGTCATGTCGCTTCTGTTCTGTGAAAGAGCCTTTTTTTAAATTTTCTGCTGGTGTGTTTTAGTATTCTGTGGAGATGAATCTGGTAAGACTGAAAACTATGTGTTATAGAAAGTCCTGAAATTGTGAAGGCAAATATATACGTATATGTATATCATATATATATATTCAAAAAAGAAAGCTGCATTGATAATAGATCATCTGAAGAGGCTTAATGACTGCAATCTATACATTTGCATTTTTAAATAATTATTTTATATAGGGCAAAATGTTAATTCTTCCTCCTGATTTATCATCTCAATTTACTTTAAAATGTGTGTAACTAGTCAGAGAATTTAAACTGAATACCCAATGAACTCCTACGTGGCTGCTACTTTGCAGAACTACATAATAAATAGATGAGAATGATTAAAAGAAAGAAGAAGATACATCCTACTTGAAAAAATTAATCTTGAGTTATTACTTTTATGGATTCCAGCTATAATAAAATCTCTCCAATTCTCAAAAAAAACGTTCTCTACAATACAATACAGCAACACAGTACCCTCAGCTTGCATTAAAGTAATTTAAATGTAATGAGTGCATGGTGGAAATGCATTTTGAAAAGATGAACTTTAAACAGAAGAGCAAAAAGAAACAGGTGTGTGGGCCTGTGTCCAATGTGAAGGCAGATGGATGATTCAGTTTGCTTATTTAAAATATCAGCAACAAGCTCTCAACTTTAATAAACCTATCAACCAATGGGTCAAATCAGTGCAACAACAGCTTTCCACCCAAATGAAATGACATCAAAGCTTGTCAGTCACACAATATTTCAGTGTCGCTCGAGAAACTTTTTTTTTTTCAAGCCCATGAAAGAACAACACAGGTTATAATAGTCATTGTTATTCCTGTAGCCACTTTGAAGCATCTTTTTAAAATATTCCACCAATTTCCTTTCTCTCTGCAGTGCACAAATAACATCGCTCCAAAAAGTCTGAAGTCAGAGCAAAAATAAAGTAAAGCACAGCAATTACTTTGTGCTTCTAGACACTTCCAAAACAACCACTTTTCAGGTTTTTACATTTTCTGGTAGCTCATTTGCATGTTGTCTTGGCAGCCCGAGGCGATGGTTATGGATTTAAGCAGAATCTTATGTCTGGACTCTGAGAGATCTTAGATCAACATGATTTCTTCAAGTTGGAGCATCGGAAACAGCAGAGCATCTGTTATGAATCTGTGATATCTTCAGAGAAGTAGAATTCAAATGATCGAATCCACGGGTGGTAAGTAAATCAGCCCGCGCCCGGCTAAAGCTAACGCTCAACAAGCTGTGGCTGCTCTTGTGAGAGAATAAGAGATGTTCATTTACTGGAACGAAGAGTTTCTATCAAAGCTTTTGAGCAGGAGAGCTTTCCGGCGTGACAACAGTGTGCTGGAGGAAAGTAGCTCGAGTGTGTCCTCACTGAGACTAGATTCTTCAGGATATTTAAATATACCCATAACCAAACAGTTTGTGACTTTTAAAGAAAACTGCTTGCAGGTAAAGCAGCTAAGCCTAGAGGCATAATTCTGCATTCCAAAATGTTACAAGCCATGGATAAAACATCTACTATTTTACTAATCTACGAATTCACCCTCTCTGCTTTACCCACACGGACCCTTTAGTGAAGCTCTTTAAGCAGTCAGTTTCCAGCTCTCTGAATGGAGTTTTTCTTCGATTGAGAGACCTTGGATGGTTCTGATTAAGTCAAGCCGACACTGTAGAATATTAAGCACGCCTCTGGAGGGGAGTCATTTGATTCCAAAGGGATACCTCCTTCCCATAGAATCTATGCAATCAATTTTTCATTAGTCCAAAAGTGTTTATCTGCCTTTAACATGCCCCTGACTCCAGCTGGATAGGGGTTGTGGGCGGTCGATTCATGCTACTCGCTTGTTAATTAAAGTTTATTTAATTGAAGAAGCACCGCAGCATTAATTAAGAAGGAATTCTCCTCCCACCCAGGTGGGTAAAAACGTGGCTTTTTGGACCGCACCAGTTCAGACACTTCTTGTATTGACAAGCCAGAGACATCTTGCTGAGTGAAAAGGGTTACGTGTGGAATGTTTTAATCTTCAAACAGAATAACAAGTGACTTCTCTTTAAAAAAGAGAATAAAGTAAGACTCGAAAAGAAAAGAAAAAAAATCCCTGTTCACCAAAACAATCATTCTTTCTTCTTGGGTACCGACCAAAGAGGCTGCATGCTGCGTCAAAAGGGCTGCGCACACATCTATCATCTCAAACACACCACCCAGCCTCCTTAGGAATTCATCTGCAATTGCATTTCAATCAGAATAAATACATTCTGCTTTTAATTGTTTGACTCGCCGGGGCCATTGTGTGTCTCTTTCTGGGATGAGCACACAGAGGATAAGTCTATTCTGATGGAGGTAACGGCCCATAAATCACCTGAGGCCCACACGCAGATAACAGATAGGAGGGGCCAGCCTAACTAACATGTCACCTTGTGTGTCGAAAGCCAAACGCTCTGAATACCGAGCCGATAACAAATGAAGAAGCTTTGCCGCGAGCAGATGGGAATATACGATAGTCTCATCTACTCTAACAAACCTGAAGCTGCTATAAAACACGCTGGCAAAACTTCTGAACAAATCTATAAGTCTTTTCTGTAACAACACACATTTGTGCTGAATTTCAAAGAGACCATATGCTGGGTCTCACAAGAGAAACGTGTGGAAACAAAGCTTTGTTGTCAGCATATGCTCTGTTCCAAAACCAACACGTGCTACAAGTGTTGATTACCAAACTATAAAGGTGTGATCTCAACCACAGATTTATTTAGCCCAAAACACAATTAAGCTGATTTATTCAGGTTCAAACTTCCAGTAGATCGACAACTTTAACAATTTGCACATTGTTTGATAATAAATATCAGTTATTACGTTTCATGATTTATGCAGAATACCTGTTTACCAGTGTTACATAAATAACTGTAAATATAGTTTCTTTTATTCAACACTTTCCAAGCATGAGTGACTTCTGGCTATCACAATTCAACATCTGTCTCCTCATACCCATGAAAGACTTTAATATGGGTTTGTTATCTGTAGTAAATGCAGGTTATTTTCAAACTTCTGCTCGGAGAACAACAGAGATGTTGGAGGCATTTCAGGGTGTTTGTGCAAAACACATTTGAAGTTGTTGCTTTCACAGGATTCATCAATGTATTGAAGCTTTTAGTAATTAGAGAAAATGTTCACAGTACACTTCCTTTCATTTCGCCCCATCACACCAAAGTTAAACTTTATTGAAGGTGATATAGGAGAGATGTACCCAGAGCTCATAAAACACAGCACTGACAGTACTGTAGCATGTGTGCATACATCATGAGGCTCCCATTCATCATCTTTGGAGCCAACCACGACTTTTCAATTAATAATGTTGTTTCCTGCATGTGTACCTACAGTATGAGGGGGAAGCTGAAACATACTGATTTGACTGTATTTTATTTAAAGAGTTTCATTTCAAAAGGTGACATATTCATTTGGAGAAATAAATTACTCTCTGATGTTCACTAAATCATATTTCAAATGCAAAAAATGATTAATTAACTAAAAAAACATTCAAGATTAAAACATAAATCACATTTTCCCCCTCATATTTACAGATTTTAAGATTCCAAAGCTGATTAATTATACCCAAAGCGTTAAACAGTGCACCCACAATGCACTGTATAAGCTAGATATTTAATTCCAACCTACTGCTTTTTTAATAAAGGCTCATACAGTACATCTGCTGTTGTGGACACATGGTGTCTGCAGTGCAGTGTTCTTTACACAAAGAATTTGGTGCCAATTAATTGTTAGAGAAACAGTAAAAAGAACCACTACAGCGTTAAACAAAAAGGCCGCACTGTTTGCAAGGATTTGTAAGTAGCACTGCTCTAATGGTATCAATAACTGAATGAATGGATACAATCCAAGTAGATTAATATGCCATTTCATTCTTTTGAAGCCATTTTGTAGACTTTGACTTCAAAAGAAAAGGTTCACAAAAAGCCAGAGATTGTCATTGAATTTCTTTAAAGAACTAAAGCCGTACTAAAAAACACTTTTATACAGTATGAAGGATTAATCATTTGAATACTTTGTAAATGTAAAAGCAAAAATGTATCTAGGTTGTTGTTTTTTGTTCATGTGATTGTTACATTTATATTTGAGTTTGAGGAAACAACATATTTTAAAGGCTTCAGCTCGGGCTTTAGGAAAGTGTACCTGGCCTTTTTCACAAACTGACATTTCATAGTGCCAATTATTAAAAAGTTAAAGGTGGGGTATGTCATTTATTTCAGAAATACTTTTTGTTATATTCCATGGAATGCTCTTAACATCTCGATAGCAATGAATATATTAAATGCTTGGACAATAAATACACAAAAAACCATCTGTGGAAGCCGTGGTGCTGTAAAAAGCACGACCAATCATCTGAGCCGGCCCGGCTAAAGTAACTGGATGGCCTACCTGCCTGTCAGCCTTCCATCTGTGCACAAACTTATCTCGTGCCCTCATTGGTCATGTGCGCGTTCGTGTGTGTTGGAGGAGGGGCTCTGTAAGGAAGTGGCAGATTTTTTCCGGTTGTGTATTTTCTAATTCTAGCACACTCAAGCTGGTTTTTCCAAAATGACCTACCCCACCTTTAAATGAGTGGCTAATAATGGATTAATCATTTAAGCATTTTTGTTATGTTATCTTGTTGGTTGCTTCTCTTTCTCATATATGATTGTTAATTACTCTGACAAGCTATCAAGATGTTAACGTGTGGTTTAGAAGTGTAATGGGCGTTTTAACACTACTTTGACACAGAATAGAGCCCGATATTAAAAATGGAAACTGTTGTTACTTAATCAATTAATCATTTGATTATTTGCTGTAATTAAAAAGGAAAATATGATCTAGTTTGTGTCTTGTCTTTATCTCATGCGAGTGCCAATTTCATATATTTGAGTTTGGAACAAGATGTCAACTCTGGCTGTGGGCAGTTCCTCACTATTTTGACATTTAATAGGGCCGAATATGAATTAGGGAAATTAATTGCAGATTGATCAATAATTAAAAACAATCTTTAGTTGCGCACTCACAGTAAGACACATTAAAATACCACACCAAATAGCTTTAGGTGACGAAATGCATTACATGAATGCACACAATGTACAATCATATGTTGTAAATTAATACTGCCGATTTTTATTCCATATTTTATTCCTTCTTATTCCATTGCAATGTAAATATTGTTATATTTGACTATATTTTTTATTATTTTAAATATTTTTCTAGTTCTCTACCTGTTTTTTTAACTCTTGTTTTTATGCACCACGACACCAAGTCAAATTCCTGGTACGTGTAAACCTACCTGGTAATACACCTGTTTCTGATTCTGATTCTGAAATGAAGTGCAATGTTTTCTGACCTATTGAGCAGTCGGCCCCCGTCCAGTTGGCCTCGCAGACGCAGGTCCCCGAGTCGGTGTTGAAGGTGCCGTGACTGGAGCACTGCTCTGGACAAGTGCTCTTCAGGATCTCACAGCTGATGCCACCCCAGCCCGGGTTACAGTGGCACTCACTGTGATGACAGGCTCCGTGACCGGAACAAATCGGGTCCACACAGTCAACTGAGGGCCGTGGAGAGGACAGAATATTTTTAGTTTACCACTTCCAGAAAGGATATCAAACCTACTTATTTACCCCGGCCAATTTCACTCTGCTACAAGCCAACATCGTTTTTGTCAGAGTGGAAGTGCTCCAGTGCCAGATGACTTCTGTTAAGCCACAGCTGAAAATGCTGCTGTGTTTAGTTGTGGCTGGTTTCGTTTTTCCACCCTATGTTCTACAAGCTCTTCTATATTATAGGGTACTTCCAATATACTGACAGCATAATTATGCTCCATTATAGGCCCTAGGAGAAGGGGCACAATTAGCGTCTAGACCGATGTAATCAATTACTATTAACAATTTGCAGATCAACTCGCTGATCTAAGTTAATAATTGGCAATTATGACCAACATAATCAACCCATAGGGATAATTTACAACAGCAACATTGTGCTTCCTCTGGAGCTGATTTCTCTGTGGATTTCAACACCTCCTTGGACACTGGTATTGATTATTTACCTTAACCAATTCATCACACCAGAGCCATTACAAGCAAGCCTGGAAGTACAAATGCCACAATCTCCAATCTACGTTTCCTTCCCATAATGCTTCACTTCAAAGAAAAACACAATATACTCATTTAGTTCACTCAATAGCTTTTTACGTGCAAGGTCAATGAGGCGCACATGTAAATCTGAGCAGATAATTGTCTTTTGTTTGCATGGGGATCAATACAGTTAAATGCACCGAAGGGAAGGGGGGGGGTTGAAAAGGTTGACAAGAAAGAAGACAAAGCTCTTTCTCAATAAACGGGGGGAACAGGTGCTTTTGAATGATTGATTTTTCCAGGTGCCTTCATCTGAGGAGTATTCCAATAGGTGACTGCATCAATGGGCCCTTCACAATCTGTTCCAGCTGGTAACCTCACGCGGTCTAAAAACTAAGAGGGAGTTAATTTATACACACGGTATCAATAACAACATCCCAAGCATTATCTGCTCAGTGGAGTTGAAAACACTCGATTGTTTCACCAATGGACTGTGTCAATCCCCCCTGAGCTTCCTACAGAAAATTGTTGCTGCTTCCCATCCAAATGGAAAAGGATTTCTTTCCCCATTTACCTTGTTCACAGTTGGGTCCTTTGTGGCCGCTGTTGCACACACAGTTGCCCGACACACACAATCCGTGTCCCCCGCATTGAGGATCGATACACTGGGAGGCAGGAACATCACACTCAGTGCCTTTCCACCCGCTGTAGCACTGGCAGCGCCCCCTGGTGTACTGACCGTTACCGCTGCACAGCACCGGACAGGCGGCTGGGGATCAAAGGAATTAATCTCATACAATATCAGGGGTTGTGGTGTATTAGATTAGATTCCTTTATTGTCACTACACAGAGTACAGCGAAATTCCAAGCATTCACGATGGTGCAATCACACATAACAGACAGTATAAGTATCATTTTGACAATTCAAGCTTAAACTTTTAATATATCATATATAAAGTGACTATAAATTAGACCTATGATACATTTAACAGTATACGCTTACAAAACAATACAACATTACCATACAAATACAAGAACAAATGTAAACAAGTCAATAAGTAAGTTATTGCACATGTAAATGTATTTATCAGTGCAGTTCATAATTACAAAACTAGAAATAAATATGTGTTCTATAAGCAATAGTATGAGGTAGAATATAAGGTGCAGTTGGATGTAATCATGTACTTAAGTTCAGTTCATATAAATGGTGCTACTTTTTCCAAGGTTAAGTACTTATTTGCCTTTATTTGTATATCTAATGTGTACTTTGTTTATATATTTCATAATAGCTACTTTATTTTTTTTTCTAAAAGTCAGGATGGTAATAATGAAGCAGGAGCCAGATGCTTAGCAAAAGCATTTGAAATAAGGAGAATCAGCGCTTGCCTGGCTTCATCCAAAGGAAACAAAATCTGCCTCACAGCACCTGTAAAGCTCGCTTATTGACTTATTATATTTATGTGTTCGACTATTTCTTGTATGGGACCAGTTGCTAGGCAACCAGCAGAAACCCAGGAAGTTACTGGTCACATATCACACATAACAGCAAGACACAAGGCGCAAGAAATGGTAAGATCTTCCATAAAACTGTGGCAAAGAAAGTAAAAAGGTGATCCAAATATCGATGAACTCAGACACGTACACATGAAGAAGGCTTTCTATTGCCATATTTTGACATATCTTTCTCTGAGATTTGGAGCGCATGTCAAATAGAGTGGATTTGAAGGGAATCTTTTCGTGTTCAGTAGATGCAAAAAAAATAGTTTTTAATAATTTTCATAGGGAGCATGTTTTTTTATGTGTCGTTTTCAATGTAAAAAGCCTGTTACAGTATGTGGATTAGGTGGAGTAACAAATGCTCAGCTGATTTTTAAAAGCCGATTAGAGAATTTAAAAAGAACCTTCTCAGTGACAAATTAGGTAATGGAGAGAGTGTTTCTTAATGATCTCAAACATATGTCTTTACTGACGTTTCTTGCAACATACCCACTGACATATATGTATACCAATATCATACAGCTGCTCAGGTAATATTAATCAATATATCGATCTAGCTGCACCATGTGAGACTCCACATGCCGTGCTTTTGCTTCTGATCGCTTTGAGCTCAACAAACAATTTTTCACATTATGTTATAAAGGTGGGAAAATAAAACCAAAGCAATCTACACAAAGAAAATCTATATTTTTTTAACTCAGGGGAAACTGACCCTTTGAATAATGGGCCGGGTGGACAGAGTAAGAAAAAATATATGAGATAATTATTACCTCTGGAACAGTACGGCCCAATGAATCCTGGGAAGCAGTGGCATGATCCCGCCACACACTCTCCGTTCCCGTAGCAGTTGTGTGTGCACTCCGTGACAGATTCTGTGGGCGAGAAAGTCTAACTATTAATAACTCACCGGATTTTCGAATTATAGCAAATCTCAAATTCCTGCTTAAATAACATTTGACAACTGAAACTGTTCAAGAATACAGCGAGACCACCGAGATACTAACGTTTTGTTTTTTTCTTTATCCCCTGCATGAATCTAGGCTTTTTAAGCATCTCTTATCTGCGGTAGCTGTATCGGGCATGGCATACATTTACAGCTATTTGTCCATGTCCCACTAAGGTCTAAGCCTCCATAACATGCACGCTGCAGGCTGGCTCTTCCCATCCAAGCAATGTTGAGTAAAAGCCACACATACATTTTAAATTAGACCAAATAATTCCATTTCCTTGACACATTTTGTTTCCGCCTCTTCCTCGCCCCTCAACCCCTTGAATGACTGATTCAAGGGACGGAGGCAATCTCCTGAGTGTTTACAGCTCAAATCCTCTCTGAGTTGAAGTTAATCTGACATATCCTACAGACAGATCTTGTGTTCATTCAACAGACCATCGCTCATGAACGGCACCCCCATAAGACCGGGGGCCCTCATTTTGATCGGCGTTAAGAGGGCAAACTTTTTTGTTATTGCACTGTCTTGTATTGAATGTTCATTGAGCCAGCGTTGGACCCAGGCAATTTTGACCTCACACATCGATACCTTCATATTTGTAGGGTTGGATCAATGGAAAACTCCCCAAAGGAAATAGAAAAACGTTAACTCAACCTTAGTAGTTTCTCCTACCTCAAAACCCACAAGGAAATTTCACAGACTCCAGAACGCTGAAGAGGTTGTTAGGAAGAAAGAATCAATGCAGTGTAGTGTCTCGTATTGTTGTGTTGAGCACAATAATCCACTACCCTCCAATGGAAACTTAGATCTGTCTCTTAGGTGGCTCAAAGTTTTAAGAGCTCAGCTTGTTTGAGTGGAAGCCAACATTTCCACCAACTGTTTGTTAATTCAGGCGCAGCTGTTAAAGGAAATTAAAGTCTTCCAAACATGTCATTACACATCATTCCAATCACTCTCATCAGCCATCGCAGCAGATGTGTGTCCTCTTACCCTGAATGATGGTGTTATAGGACACTGTCTCCGCGTTTCTTCCGTCATTATAAAACGCCAGGTGCCACACCCCTGAGTCCAGGTACTGGATGAAGCCGGCTTGGTGCACGCTGACCGGGTGATCCTGCCGTCCCCTCGTCTCCGGTTCACTCTGAGTCCGATGTTCTTTGGCGATAAGCCGGCTGCCGTCCAACAGCTCCACAAAGTCGTACTGCAAAACAACACCAAGGACAGATTACGACAGATGCAGATGATTGTTATTTTAATGTTGCTCTAATTAAATCAGGCAGTAAAACACGCCAGAAAGTTCAAAAAGTGGATGCTTTCTTCTGTTGGATGCTTTGTATGCGTGATTTCCCTAACTGTCGGAGAAGAAGACTTCAAAGTGGTTATGCAAAACACAACAAAATGAACAGGTCTGTGTACCCAGCAAATATTTCAGTATAATAAATGTTGATTTTCCGTCACATGTATTTGTAGTTGATAGATGTTGTTTGGAGAGTTGTTTGTCTACTGATAGAGCTGATATGGCTCTTGGGCTAGGGCTAAAAAAGATTCCAAAAACATGTTGTACATTCTGACAGGAGTGCACTTTAACAGAGTCTGGCAATGTGTTTATTATAATTTGTTAAATTAACGCAGATAATGCTCTGTGTGGATGCATATACTTAGGAATTCAGAGATATTCACTGCCAGCGTGTGCACAAAATACAAATAAAAGGATAAAGGGAAAAGCTTTCTTCAATGACAGCTATATGCAATTATTTGTCTCTGTTTTTAATTCAACTTAATACCACATTGCCACTAATGTTTTAATTGGTTTATTGTTTGTTTTTAACACTGCATGTTCCCAGGACTCTCTCAAACAGCGGATGAATACATCATATCTTGAATAAGTTTAAAGTAAATACGTCCTTTTTTTTCTACAGTAGCAAACACAGTATACGAAACAACCAATAGAACATAGTATATACCCCAGGCCTTTTTCTTCCTACTGTATGTTTTGGGAAAGCAGCATAGCAGTCTCTCTGTATTTCTTTCAAGCAAACATTGATTTACGGGGTAAACAAGGAGTAACGAGTCATTCCTGCCAAGTGAAACGAGTAAAGGGCCGCATCTGCTCTCACTGCACCTGCTCAACACCTGAACCTCTTCTTGACGGGGGCTGTATGGTGGAGAGCACTGCAGCAGAAAACAGAGTAACAAACCAGCAATCCCCAAACAGTCTATAGGCTGCAGAAAGCACAACAGATGCAGACAGATCCCATGGCTAAAGCTGTTGTTAGCTACACAGATGCACTGAGTCTAGAGTGAACGCTCAGGATGGAAGAAAGACTATGGGCTGATAAAAGTCTGATGCACTGAAGCTAATTTAAAGATGGATTTAAACACAATGATGAGGTCATTTGAGAGATTTGGTGAACTGCCAAGCTATTGATTTTTGCCTGAAAATGATTTTGTTTGTGTTTCAGACTTGTCCGCTCAATAATAAGTAATATATCACTTACATTTAAAATACATTTTTAAAGTAAGTAATGACTTCAGTCACAACAATTGTCAAGAGAGAAAGGTACATATATCTGATTTGGCAGCAAGAGGTCCGACTTAAAAATCATAAAAAAAAATTGTTTTAGACATGCGAGTACATTTATTTATTTATGTTTCCTTATAAATAATAGAATACGATCGGAAAAAAATATGTCACAAATCAGCCTAATGTGTTTTTTAAAGCTGCATTAAAGCTAGGTTAAGTTATTTATTCATGGGAAATAATTCCATTGTAGCCTTTCAGCATATTGTAATTTAAATGGTCTGGAAAAAAAACAGATTTCTGCTCGGTTTTTAGCTTAAGTAAATGGAGCCCAAGACGTTGACCAATCACAGATCATTTGGAGGAGAGAACCGTCCTATTGGCTGCTCTAGGAATGCAGATGCCTGTTCTTGTCCCGTTAGATGCTGCATGAAGCGCATATCTGTTTGGTGGGAGGTGCTCAAAACGGAGCGGGGAGGGAGGAGAGCAGCAGTATGAAGTAAGATGGCTGTATCTTTGTGTTCTGGCTTTTTTTTGCCTTTTACTAAAAGCTGCCTACCCTGGGAGACCACTTGAATTACAATTATGTTGAAAGGTCATTATGGAATGAAAAATAAAGTGCCTCCTCCAGCTTTTTTTTCTATAGTTTTTAATAGTAGCATTCCATCATAGCAACACTGCATGTTTATGATATTACCCCAAACCCTATTTAAACCTTAATCGGCACCTCTATTGAGCTTTTTTGGCCTCTTTCACTTCACTGCATTAGCTGCATGCTCCACAATAAAATCACAGCCCCTCATCAACAAACCCATTTCCAAAAGCAGCAAATAGCTGTTTTCAGCAACAACAACAAAAACAATGATATTCTCACCGCTTAAGAGGCAGATCATTTTTTCTCAAGTGTTGTTGCAGACAAAACCCATGCTAAAAGATGTTGCACTTAAATATATCAAGTGGCCAGAAACACAAGTCCAATTGGATCCTGGTGTTGCTCTATTTCTGTTTGATGTGTAACGAGGCAACTTTTGACACACACTTTTAAGCTTAAGGACTTTATAAACTGGGAGTAAATCAGTGTTTTGCACCTGCCATCTTGTTATGAAGTTCTTCTCTGCCTAGTGGGCAATAATGAATCATCTCAGCTTTAAAATCACTATGTGCACGACGTCCAGCCTCGTTGAAACATAATGGGCTTTAAAAGAAAGGGACAAGAACATATATTAAAACAGGATTTAAAGCTCAGAAACGGGACAAACAGGGACCCGAGCAACTTTGCAGTTGACTTGAAAAAGACAGGAAAGAGAGCATAAAGCAAGGGGCAGGTGAAGTCAACCCTGTGATTTAAACCCCTTTGAGTGGAGCAGAGGGGCAGGGGGAGGATATTAACCTGGCGGAAGTTGACTTCTTTGTGTTTTCGGCTTGAGGGGGAAGTAATAAAACTGTTCATCCCACGAAACCTAAACCTCCTGGCGAAGTGCATACATCTCGATTAGCCGCAGTGAAAGCCCCCCCCAACTCATCTCAATCCAACAATGCAGTGAATAACAGGCGAGAGGCCGAGCGTGGAGAGACTGCAGGATGCCCCGCAGATAGAGCCCAGAGCCTGCAAATACTTCAGCCTTTAGATTGAGTGAACTTAGTTTGGCACTTGGAAACAACTGAGAGCAATCTCTTAAGAAACAAACTACAAAAGTAATTTTCTTCTAACTTGTTTGGTTTGTATCAGCACGGACAAACACTCAATAGCAGAGAGAGGAAGTCTATGTTGGAGAAAGGTGGAAAGCCTGTTGCACTTAAATGTTGTCTTGTCTTCCGAGCTGTGAATACAACGAACAGTCAATATCTCTCATTGGTGTCTTTCATGCTCAGTTAAGTAAATGCATTGATTTGTGCCCCTGGTCCCTGAACAGTATGTAATTTAGAGGAGGCCACAATGGACACAGTGTCGAGAATTGACAAGCTTGAGTGTCTGTGCAACAATTGCCGGAGACATAAAAGCAGTGTCTTGTTAATTAGTGCCCTTTGGACTTTCATTTTGGTTGGGGCTCCTTTTTTCACCTTGAAAGTGCAATCCGGATCACCTGTTGTCCCTTACATCTCAGTTTCGACCGTCAGAGAGTGGCCCTACACTTGAGTGAAGCCCGTCTTTACGAGCAGAGAATGTCAAGAAGGTTAGGCTAAGAGCTTTTGCAGTCAATTGTGCTGGCCATTGTCTGAGTGCCTCCATCACCATGATCACACAACGGACATTCAAAATGCCGGAAATGTCATTCAAGTGACACATGAGACATTTTCTGAAACACTTCAATTTGCAAGTTCTCGACGTTTAGTGGAAATTAAAGATGTGCATGTCCACACTGGCAAACGGAAATAAGCTAATACCTCGCTGTAATGTGCAAAGGCATACAGTGATGTCAGGAATTCAAATAAAGGACATCATAAGAGCAGATAGAACACCCTATTAATTAATATAGTATTCATATAAATTGTTTGATACAGTTTAATTTTCAGGCTTTTTTAAGACGTAGTGAAATGGCCTCAAAGCTGCTTTAATCAATTTATTTTATTAAGGACTGATTACATGGCTATGTGTAATGTGAAAGGAGTAAGAGCGGTGATTAACACATAGAGAAATATTGCTAATATTATAATTAAAGCCATGGAACTGGTCCAGTAATGTCAGCAATAGTTAGCCACGTTTTTTTTAGAAGCTGCAAAGCCCCTGAGACCAGAGCCCAGTCTGCTCTGATTGGTTAGTTGGCAATCCCTGTTGTAATTAGTCAACCTCTTAGAGATGTCCCGCCCCTTAGTCCATCACGTATAATGTGTTGGAGCACTAGCCAATAGATGCGTGAGTGTTACATAGAGATGTCACTATTGGATGTTATCCTTTGCAGACCATTTACATGCACACAAACGTATATAACACACTACAGGAAAGGGAACACCTCAAAAAGCTAAAGTGGGCCCCTTTAATAAACAAAGATAAAACTGACGTAATTGTTTTTGGAGCCAAGGAGGAACGAATAAAAGCCAGCGCTGAGCTTCAGCCTGCAATGTTCAAAACAACAGATGAAGCCAGAAATCTAGGTGTAGTCATGGACTCTGACCTGAGTTTCAACAGTCACATTAAAACAGTTACTAAATCAGCCTACTATCACCTAAAGAATATATCTAGGATTAAAAGACTGTCACAGCAGGATTTGGAAAAACTTGTCCATGCTTTTATCTTCAGTAGACTGGACTACTGTAATGGTGTCTTCAAGGGTCTCACTAAAACATGATGCAGCTGATTCAGAACGCTGCTGCTCGAGTCCTCACTAACACTAAGAAAGTGGATCACATCACTCCTGTTCTGAAGTCTTTACACTGGCTTCCTGTGTGTCAAAGAACTGATTTCAAAATACTGCTGCTGGTTTATAAAGCATTGAATGGTTTAGGCCCAAAATACATCAGTCAGAACTAAACATGGAGAAGCAGCGTTCAGTTATTATGCTCCAAACACCTGGAACAAACTCCCAGAAACCTGCAGGTCAGCTGCAACTCTGACTACTTTTAAATCCAGACTGAAGACTTTTCTTTTTGCTGCCGCATTTAATTGATATATTCATTCCTCACACTGCACTGTAACTTTTATTCATGTACCTGTGTTATTCATGTTTTTTTTTATCTTTGATTAAGTGTTTTAAAATGCTATTTTTGAATATGCTTCTGCTGCACTATTTCTTAATTATTCACTTTTTCGTAAAGCACTTTGAATTGCCTTGTGTTGAAAGGTGCTATATAAATAAACTAGCCTTTCTTTTCAATGTTACTTTTTAATTACAAGAGATGTGTTATATTTCTTTGAAGAGTAACACAGTTTGCAAAGCATCACAAGGTGTCAGCTTCATAGCATCTTTAATCTACATGGTGATATACCTGATTTAAAAACATTAAGAAAAAGGCTTTACCTGAGTGTGAGAGGGTGTGAGACCTTTCCTTCCATAGACTCCTATCAGTGCGTTCTTCTGTACCGAGATGTTGAACTTCAGGAAGCGTGGGAGCTCCATGCTGAGTTGAGAACGCCAGAACACCCCCGGTGGGACGCTCTGACCCGCCTTCTTCCCTACGTCCACCTGTCCCGTATCAATGGAGTTGTTCTCCTGATTCAGCACGTTAGTCCTTCCTAGAAGACAGACACACACCCACACTCGGATTATATAAGGTGTCGCAAATTCCCAAAAAACAGCACTGTTATGGCTATATTGTATAAATCAGTCATCACAGAGCCTTTCATGCCATCAGTTAAAACCTCCGCTTTCATCTCAAATCTAATATTGGTCTTTCATATTTGGATATCAGTAATTGCTGCATTCAATCTTTTGCTTACCAGTGCAATCTTATTATTTTTACCCAAGCAGGGACTTTACAATAAGACAGTCATATATTTTCCAAATGAGCAGTGACCAAGAAAGAGAGGATTAAAAGTAATGGATCCCTGTGGTCCATGATGCACTGCTCACTGAACAAAAAATGACCAGATATAATTGGCTATTTATTAGACTCTAACAGGCCGCATTTCACGTCTTCTCTCTGGTCCTGATGACTCAGAGAGCACCGCCTCATCTTAGATAAGGTCTTAATGGAAACTGTCAGATATACTGAGCGCTACCCTCCCAGAGCAATAACAGCAAATCAAAACTATTTTGTGAATTATACCCTTAAACTGTGTCCTTACAGCGTAAACGATGGAGGGATGGCCAGTTTTAATATGACTCATGCTCAAATGAAAAATTGTAGTCTGCAAGGTGTAATTACCAGAACAAATGTCATTGTTAGGATGAAAAATATGTCAAATGTTTTAAAGTCCTTGCCGTTTGAAGCTATATCGTGGAAGGAATACAGCTGTGCTTTTTACAACATACTGTGGCATAGACTTATAACTGGTTAGGTGGATGATGCAGAGATGTCCTGATACATAATAACATCTCAACCTTTGTCCCTGCTTCTCATACGAAGCGCTTCAGTGTGAGAACCTCTGTATACAGTCACTCGGAGTTTATCCGTTCGTGCCAGACCTCCGTTATTTGCATGCCGGGGTGGGTGTAATGAGGCCATTGGCTGTCACTTTAGTTCCATTCAAAGTGAAGACTGGTAGCCAAGTTTACCTCAGGGGAGAATAATAGCCTGCTATTGATTGCCTTTAAACAGTCCAAAACCTGCCTCATGCTATCTTAATTAGCAGTACTTATGAGGATTTAAATCTAGCCGAGTTTAAACAATTGAGCTTTTGCATGGCCTACTCAACTCAATTAATGCTGTCGTGGCTGTGCATTCTAAATACAGCAATGTGGTCAGAGATTAATTTGGTGGCTTTTGCTGTAAAGGTGAGTTGGGATGGCATGGCTGCGTGTTGTTGAATACAGAATGGTCCAAGATTATGATTAGGTAGTGCAAAGCTGTCTGGAATCAGTCAATTAATATTCAGAAGGTGAAAGATCTCAGTAAACTGCAAAGGCTGACTTGGCATCGAGCAACAAATCATTCATGAGGCCAAATGGTTTGCTGGTGAAATTTGTCTTTCTTAATCGTCATTTGAACCTTTTTTTTGATTTAATTAATTAGTATTCTTTAACCTTTTTTTTTTAGGTATCAGCATTTCATTAAAAAAATCATTAATTACACAAAACCTAATCTACTTCAACTGAAGTTGAGATTATTCGCACATTTAAAGTGTTAGTGCTAATGAGCTAGAAAACCGGTCCATACACCATGCTTTTGCCAAGCCATTCATTATTTATTTAATACAATGAATATTAGAAAATTATGAATATTCAAACTTAACCCCAAAAACCCCAACATATCTTGAAAAAGCAATGCCAACATAACCTTGACCGAAATAAATTAGGATACATGGAAGCCAACAAAATAAGAAAGAGTATAATTATGGAGCACTAATACTGAGAAAGGCTTATTTGAATGTTAATTAGCGGTTTATTCAAATGTCAGTCTTTTATTTTCTCACCGTCAGCAGCCAGAGCTGTCACTATGCTCGACTGAGTGGGCCCCGTCTTCCCAACTCCTCCGTTTTCAAAAGCCGGCTGGTTGTCCAACTCTTGGAGCTGCCAATTGAGGCCAAAAAGGTGCATTGCTGTGAAATACACAAAAAAGCTGCGTGGGTTTGTAGAAATGGATAAACAAATAAGCAAATAAGTTGAACATAACAAGCCGCTTTAGCACAAAAGACCTGTGGGAGAACACAATGGATGGATCCAATGCAGGCAGAAAAACACATCAGTTTAACTTCCAACTTTTCTGTTTTTTCAGGCTACTCAACAATGGGTGGGCTTTGTGTAAACAGCGTGCTGACAGAGTCCAGACAAAGTCATTTAGATCAATACTCAGGAACCCTGTTGCTCCATCATGTTTCCTTGGGGAGCGCTGTTCATTAATGTGCCACAGTGTCTGCACACAAACAGCTACTTATCAAAGCGAGCAGAATGTGTATTTTCATAAAAAAGCTTTCACTTCAGACAAGCAGAAATGACACACTGGGAGAGTGTTGAACTTTCTAATTCAGTGTGATAAAAAGCAGAAAAGACATGGTGACAGTTCCATGTTTGTGAGTAAGATGGAGGGAGAGGCAGAATCTTTTAAGAAGGATTGAGGCAGTTTATTGAGACAGACAATCACAGCAGGAAGAGGAAGTGAGTGTAAGATGCTGCAACAGTCCTCTAGTTGTGTAAGATAACTAAACTTTGCTGGCTTTCATTCAGCAAACCTTCTTCATTGTCTCAGTATTGGAGGCAATCAAACTGTGTTCTTGTTGTTTTGGGAAGCTGAGTTGCTACTGCGAGCACAGCGAGAGGGCCAATCTCCTTCAAAGTCACCATCCAGGGAACATGCTGAGGAAGCATCTTGATTTCCGACCATTTGATCTGCGGGAGGAACTTTTCTCCAACACTCACCAGGAAGATGGATATTGACTGCAGTAAATAAGAAGTGGATGTGGGGCCAAAGAGAATATCAATTGTGAAGGAGACCAAAAGAGAGAGTGTAAACTAGTAAGGAGAGTGTACCAATCCATACTTTGTAAAGAAATAAGACTTGTGTTTTGCTAAGAACTTGTGAATAAGCATCATTAGAATACACAAAGCACTCTCCTTGGTATTTAAAATGGACATGTGCACTTTAGCCTTTCATTCAAGTTTAATCAAGCAGATTTATTTGAGTTTTAATGTTTGGTTACACAGTACATTCAGCCTGCATAACCCTCTGTGTCAAAATCAATGTTGGCTGCATGTGAGACAACGCAGAAACACACATGGTCCATCAATATCTTATAACTCAGACTTTTCTCTCTGAATGGACACCCAGCGTGAACACCTATGATCCATGCAGTTTGTTCCTTTTTAGCTTCACATATGTCAGATGTCCTGTGTCAATTGATTTTTATGGTTTAAAACATTTCTGAATGTTACTTCAGTTTCAGATATATGTGCACATTCCCATGGCAACACAGATAGACACAATCAAAATCTTCAATTTAACATAATCCGCCAAGAATCAGAAATATTTATAAAATAGTTAATTAGTACCCCAACACTAAATCCAAACATTGGACTGAAAACTTCTACATTTAAATACAACCTTTTTTTAATGTGTAAATATCTCAATTTCTTGGATTATCATGTTGTTGGTTTGTAACTGAGAAACGGCCCCAGATTTCTTAAAAAACAGTGTTAGCTCGGACCGAAATTGCAAGTACCCAATGAGGTAATGGGGCACTAACAAAACAATAATAAAAACAGCCTTTTGCCTGAAAAGAAAGGGACATCTACTCTAACAAATTGATTGTCACTGTGAAGTGAAAGCAGGGTAAGATATTACTCAAAGGGTAAAAGGTAGCATAATATGTTGCTTAACAAACATGTATTTAGAAACCTAGTGTTAAGTGTTTTGAAAAATGAATCATTTCTAAGCTGACAAGAGGAGTCAGAAGAAGAAGAGAAGACAGGACACCAGCTTTACAAAATGACACATGAACAACAGATGGTGCTCTTAAACACCAGACGTTGTTTACCTTAGTGCTGAAGATTCAATCATCTTTTTATTGTATTTTTAATGCTAATGATAGCAGATCTGTGAGACTGTGTTTAGGCACATTGCTGCTTTGAGCTGATAGCAAACATTAGCATGCTTACATAGTGAAAATGGTAACATGCTGATAATTATTAGGTATTATTGAACAGGTTTACCATCCTAATTAAGAATGTAGGCTATGTATATTAACATTTGAATGATTATCATTGCGTAACAAAAAATTAATCTGAGGCCGGTGTCATTTTTTGGTTTTTGGTTTTAAACCAAAGTTAAAAAACTTTGACGCAATGCTGGTTTCAGATGAAAGGTCTGTCATCCCCTATGTAGTAGAATTTCTAAACAATGAAGCAAATTTCCCTGCATTTCATCCATTATCTGTACAAATAGTTAACTCTAACCTACAAATATCTGCTTCATGGTAAAAGTCAAAATCAGAGTCTGAAAACCTTTCCACCGGTGTGACTCCTGAATACAGACTTTAGCCCATTTAACAGATTAGTCTAGAGACTCTCTACACGTTCACATCTCCCAGTATCCCTACATTTTCACAGTGTGTGACGGTGGGCTCTCGTGTATCAGACACACCGCAGAACCACCAAGAGCCTTCCCCTCTTCACTGCTCGCTGGGCACCAGGACCCGAATCCCCATTTACCTCATCAACAAATTGCTTTGAGGTGAATAGCCCTCAATTTGTGAATTTGCATAAGTTATTCCAGCAGCCTAGGCCAGTTCAATTAATATTTATGGGCCGTGAGCAATTCTCTTACTGAGCAAGAAGCAGCAAAAGCTAGCCTTTAATCTCAGAAGTCAAAATTCGCCCTGTGGAACACCTCCACAGACGATGAAAGGGATATTGAATTTGTAGGTTCACACAATGTTAGTTTGAGCCCTGACATCCACATGGTATTTAGTGTACAGAGGCACAATCACGTTTGCGCTGGAAAACACAACATGAGCCCCAGATAATCCTCCTGGAAGCTCTCAGAGCAAAATCCCTATTTAGTTCATAACATTTTTGTTTGGGTTGTTACCTGAAAAAAGGGCTAATTATTCTACAGATGAAGGTTGCATTTCTTCTTTGTGGGAACAAATAAACAATTATTTTTAAGCTGAGCAACCTAAGGCTTTTAAAAACACAAATGAGAATAAAATCTCTTAAGTGTTTCCTGTTCAAATATGCAGAGGACGCCTGTCTGATGGCTATCATCACCGAGAATAATGAGTCCATATACCACAGAGAGAGGTGACCCATCTGGAGCCCCAGTGTGCCAACAACTACTTGGAGCTCAACAGCCTCAACATTATTGAGATAAACATTGTTTTATGCTGGAACCTGCCTGCAAATCCCCACAGAAACCTCCCGAGGGACTCCCGGGGATGTTCCTGTTCTCTAGGATAGTATCTCCAACAACCTCAAATGGAATGACAACATCTGTAAGACAAGATCGACCAAGACAAGGTGATTTTCTTTTGTACCTGCGGCAATTGACAAGCTCCCTGTTTCCTTGGGGTAGTCTCTGCGGGATTTCTTGATTTTGTGTTAGTTTTAGATTAGTATCAGGAGCAGACTTTTTATTTTCCAACACAGTACTCATCACCAACGAGTGGAAACAACCTGTATCAACCACTCTCCTCTGCTGGCACGGCCTTGTTAAAACCAAAAGTGGCAACCATGTCAACAATTTCATGAGAGCCATCATTTTTAATCAACCAGGCTTCACTGAAAAACATAACAAATCCAAAAATTGATTCTAGCCTTTACCAATAAATTACATTTGCGTGGTACAAGCTTGCAGTAAATTAGATTCCTCCTCAAATCTGAGATGCACATTTACAAAGCCACTGCTAACGTAACATAATCCTGGCTTCATATAATGACTTTAAGTTATATATTTTTCTATATTTGTGTGTGACAAAAGAAGTCTATTGTCTTCTCCTTATAAACATTTTTGATCAAACATGGTCAGTGAGTATATTGTGCACATTTGATTTTGTTTGTGCGGTTCAATTTGGAGGGCATTTCCAAGAATCCACATGCTGTTTCTGAATCCAATCAGTGCATCAAAGCTGGACCTGGTCCTGATTGGCCTCCCCTGTATCTGAACAATTGCTGAAATCCTTCCAATCAGGCTAGTTTGCATAACTGGAACTGGAAAGCCTCACCTCAGCAGGTTTGCCTCATTTGAATTACAGGAGCTGCTGTCAGCCAGGGTCCAGTTTCATGTCTGTTCTCCACGCTTTTCTTCAGATTAATTCAATAAGAAAACCTTTTATCCAAACTATTTGTTTCCAAAATATCTTGAGGCATATCAGTCTTAACCTCAACAAAAACAGTCTTATCAACAACAAATTGAAATTGAATATTTTGCTACAGTTTAACATGTAACAGATGTAGATGTGCCTGTATTGGTACTAATGGGACTGTGCGAGCTGACAGTAAAAAAGTATTAAAGCATGAGTGCACGTGGTGTCTATTTAAGTCATTGCACCTGGCAGGTGAATTGGCGGTGGATGAAAGCGAGAGGAAGTGGTGGAAACACTCTCAGACACCTGAGGCAAGTGGCACTGGGGCTGCATCTGTTTAACTCACACACACTCAGGCACACTAACACATGCAAACACACACCGTAGGAGATGGAGCACCAGGAACAAACTGTGGAATCAGGCCAAAGATACAATTCCCAAACAACCTACAGGTCTACAATTAAACAAGTTAGTAAATGTCGAGATGAACATGTTGTGAATGAATCCAATCTGCTACAAATGTTAGTGACAACAGCTGAACAAATTAGGGGTTCGGCTCCTTTTCCCTGTGTAAACTGAGCAGATCTGCCACTAGCTGTCATAAAAATAGCAACTGATCCCTACACACAGAGGAGCGACTAAGATGTAAATGTATGTTTATATCCATACTAATTTTATGGCATCATGAATGAAAACAAGTACAAAACTGTTAAGTCAATAGGCCATTGTGAATATTGATATAGCACATTTATGACCTATCCTCCAAGAGAGCACTCCCCTATCCATCTCCCAATAAAACACTGGTTATAGGATCTTCCCAACAACCTCATATTTCTCCTTATACAACTGTGTCACATTTCCTCTGCCTCCAAGCATGCTGAATACTTATATATCCTCTGAGGGAGACAGGCACAGTGTAAAGATTAAGGGCTTGGATGACAAGGGAGGGCATGAGGAGACATGAATCTGTAACAGGTTTATTGCTCTGGTCGAGATTCTAAAGGTTAGCAAGAAGTCAGCTTTGACACACGCTGTAAAAAACAAACATCCGAAAGTCTTCTCATAGGAAATAATGCCCAACGGATGGGGCGTGGGGCGGTGGGGGGGGAGGATGAGCATTAGTTTATCTTCCTGGCCGAGATAAAAGCATTTCCTGTTTAACAGAGTCTTAAGCAAGTCTTGGTTGAAGCACAACAAAGGCTTTGTGGACCAAGGTCTTCTTTTAAGATCAAGTGTTTGCTACTGTTTCCTTTGTTATAAGAGCTCCTCAACTGTTTCATTTTGAAGCTGCCATCTGTGCTGGCAATTTGAACAGCCCTGCTTGTGTTAGAGCAGAAACCCCTGAGGACATAAATTCTATGAACTGGGGATCCAAAGTCTGGGGATGATGCACAGCAGCCTGTCAAAAAGAAACAGACAGGAATGTCTTGTTGGAAACTGCACTCGGGCCATGTCTGCATATCGGACCGAGAGCTTAGTCAGACAGACGCTACTGAATCATATCAGGACATCTTCAATTTCTGCCAAAAGGAAAAAGCAATGAAATAGAAATACTCCTGGCAGCGATCAAACTTCATACAGATTAAGCGGCTACATTCGCTCTAGGGAGCTTGTCTATCATTTGTTCCCTTTGACCGAATGACATGTCTAAAGATTGTCTAATGCCGGGCGCAGATAATGGAGTCAGGTTTACTCTCCCTACAACCTAAATAAATATGTTGCCACTTGCACAAAATCTGCTGGTTTTCATGCACTTGGGCTGACAAGTGTGTGTTGCACCTTCAAATCAGACAATAGGCGCGTTCACACCAAGTACTTTTCCCACAAAGGTTCCTGAGAACTCTTTAGTTCTCATGAACTAAGTACAGATCGCGTTCACACCGGAAATTAGTTCCTGGGGGTGGATTAGGCAAATGAAGCCGCTGACGCCACTTCTCCTTCTTCTGCTTTGGGTTTACTGGCAGGCCGCAAACAACTTCACGGCGTATACTGCCACCCAAAATCCCCGGCCGGAAGTCCCCGGAGTTAGGGACTGGCTTCAGTAGAAGCTGCTTGGACTCCCAGCAGCTTCACAAACGTTTTTGGGAGTTTGACGGGGCGTGGTTTGCATTCCGCCCAGCCAATCAGACACAGGAACCTTTTTCTCCCACGAAAGTCCCTGCTCTCTAACAGGGACTGAAAAGGGGGTAAAAAAGGTTCTCTAGAATTAATTTAGTTCCTGGGACTTTTTGGTGTGAATGCAACTAAATTGTAGTTCTCAGGAACCTTTGGGGGAAAAGTACTTGGTGTGAACGCGCCTAACAAGTGCACAGTGAAATGTTCCTACCAAAGCTTCGGTGTACAGTAAATTTGGTTTAGATGTTTAGATGGTTTAGATGGTTTCAAATGCACAATACCAAGGTGTACACATTGGATACCATATGAATCTAATAGTGTTAACACACCGACGCCTTCTACAAAAAAATATCCTCATGCCAGGCTCGGAAATACAGGCTGATATTTCCTTGAATTGCCCCTCCAGAGAATCAAAGTTCTGGTCTAAGCCCCTATTTGTGGACCTGTTCAGCATGGAATATCTGGTAATATGAGCAGTTTAAAGATAATATTTTCACCCCCTGAACTGCTTCCAAGCACGAGCAGGGACTGAAGTCTTGCAATGTGAGGAGGAAAAGAGAAGACTTTTAAATTGCTACTTGTGTAGGATGCAATTTTGAAAGCTGGTAGGAGTGTGGCCTTGAACTGTTGCTAACGTGTTGTCAACCGTACAAATGAGGAGTTGGGGAGAGCGTGTGGGTAAAAGTGAGAAAGTAAATCAGTGTGTATTATTGAGACATGAAGAGAATCAAAAGCAGAGCAGCTTTTAAATTACTTTGAGGTCGGTCCAAATCAAAGTGTCAACGCCTTGACAGCACGTCCAAGTCATTCACTCATTAGTCTTTATAAACAAATTGCAAATCAGGATGGGAAGACGTTCAGTTCTGAATGCTAACTATTCAAATGGCATGGTTTATGGTTTTGGCATTTTCCTTTTCAAGCTGTATTAATTGTTTTAGTTTTTTTTTCATTGCTGCGGCCAACACCCTTTGGCGCATATGTCTAATAAATAAATATGTGGCGACTGAATGTTATTTGTGAGCATGTCATCAGTCTCATATCAAAAGTCTGAATGTTTTTGCTCTCAAGGGCAAATGCAAAGCTTCAGGGATTCTCAAGTAGTCAAATCTGCATCTATCATTTTGTTTCAACACTATATTTCTGACTAGGAAAATGTCTGTGTGGCCAAACAGACAAAACTAGCTGATCTGTAGCCCTTATTAACATAATATTGTCGAATAATCTGGCACTGTTTTTCTAATGTTGTCATTTGGCTGTGTTACAGATCATTCATTCTCCTCATGCATATTGATTTCAAAATATCTTTAAAACATCCAAACTCACCCTTACCTATGCAGTAGCAGAGGACGATGGACAGAACCACAGCGATCCCCACGGCGACCAGGGCAGTGCACTTCCAGGAGCAGTGTTTCGGCGACTTCTTGAACTTGAAAGCTCCTCTGGAGAGGCTGTGTCTGGGCAGAGGTCGAGCCGGTGTGGAGTAAACCGTCCCTGTAGCCATGGTGTACCCGGGGGCGGCTGTGCCAAAGAAAGGTGTTGTTCCTGTGCCCGTTTTAAAAAGAAAATGCCTGCATAGGGGAAAAGAAGAAATAGGAGAAAACGGGTATGGATTAAATCAGCATCCCAAAAGATGCAATGCTCCATGTACTGTACTGTATGTCCAACTTAAAACAATTTTCTAGCTGGATGCATAACCTCAATTTGCTCCTGTTCCAAAGCTATGCTCAATAGCTCAAAGCAAAAACATTTAACCATTTAACACCAGGCACATCCGTGTGTATCACACTGCAAGAGGGACTGGATTTAATTCTAATATTTAGCTCAATCCTGACATTCGAAAAGGTGAACAAAAAGTACCTCATAAAAACAATCATCTCCCACTTGCCCTTTTACAACGGGGCCTTTGCTAATAGCCCATTATACCTGGGGTAATTAAGAGGGTTTAATCAAATGCACTACAGAGCGATCGTCCTATTAACTTTTAAACCCCACGTGAAAAGCTCTTAAGTAAATGAATTAAGCCTTGTTGCCACTCTTGCCACTACTTAGAGATTAATACCCAAATGCCTGTAGGCTTATGGGGACGGCAGGGGAAATTGGACAGATTGACCATGCATTGCAAATACTACTTCGCACCAGAATTGCAGAATTTCATGTCTCCGCTTTCTCCATTTAAAAAATAAATGAAATTGCCAACAGTATTGACTCTTTCTCAGATAATAAAGCTTCATTATCGTTCTAATCTTTTGTTATTCATTTATAATTATTCACCATCATACCAATATTCAACAAGAAAGCCCATTAGCCACTTGAATTGAAAGGAAAAAGCATTTTACCCACTAATTTATACCATTGCATCAATTTCTGTGACTTTGGTATTGAATTATATTGTTTTGACTATAGAAAAGTCAAATTTACATTTAAAAACGTTGAGGTTAGCCTCTGTTATATAGCCGTCACTGAACACCATGATGTCACAAGTACTACCTCTGCTACTACACTCTTAGGCCCCGGCCCCACGAGGACGAAAACGGTCGTTTGCGTTACTGTTTAGTGTCATATAGACCGTTCGGCCACACGAGGACGACCGAATATGACAGTAAACAACTGCGGAAACGATAACGGGTCCCAAGGTGGATAGAACGGCATACGCAACGCTCTGGGGGGTCCAACGGCTCCGTTTGTGCGCCCTATACGATCATTTTGTGATAATGATGAAATAGCCCCGCCTCTCCCCACCTCTGCTGCTCACCCCCGCGTCAAAGTAAACTGCATACTGAATTCAGATTATTTATCTTTCTCTCGATATGGACATAAACGCGAGTGAAGTCTAATCTGACAGGACGGAGACACGCAGCTCTGCTCACCTGCGGCTCCTCCCGCTGTGATGCAGCGGTGAACGGCGCAAAACACACACTTCAAGTCAGATCATCACCCTTAGCTATTTTAATTACCTCTCAAACTAACTAAACTAGTTATAGATATGTGTATTTGTACTGTCGGCCGGCACTCATTACTGGATCAGCTGCTGCATGAGACAGACACTGACGCTGTCCGAAGAGAGGGAGGAAAAAGAGAGGCTCCGTGCATTTTATTATTATATTCTATAGATTCGTTATTCATTTGTTTTAATGCTCAATAAATAACAAAGAAGACCTTTGACCGGCACTTTTATAATTGTGTCCGAAAGATTTAAACTGTAATACACGTTGACTGGCGAAAAACTCTGCCCGGTTCCATCGGCCCCCACCGCGGAAAATAAACAGAAGGGCAACCATGACAACCATGCTTCTTCGCTGCTTTTGTGGAGGAAGTTACAGCGCCACGTACAGGCTCCTGCTATGTACTGCAGCTTTTCCAGCTGTTGGAGCTAAACGGAGCTGTCTCGTGACAGACACTATCCGTCGAATATTGCGTGTGGACGGAAGCTTTTTTGCGATTGCGTTTGCGTTAATCCTATGCGTTTAGCCGTATGCGTCCTCGTGGGGCCGGGGCCTTAAACACTCCAAAATACCTTCATCAATGATTTTTTTGATTGTAAGGCTTGGATAGATAGTGTGAAAAAATAAGCTTCTGAGTAATTCCTGACTTCTGAATTGATGGTCAAAAATGTATGTTTTAACACCAAGAGCATTAATATATGGCAAGTGAAAGAAATCACAATTCCAAGCCGTTATTAGTGGCTTTCTTGAAAATCGATGCCTTCTTGGATTGTGAGTGGCTTACAGGCTTTTTAAAATAACTACCTAGGAGGAAAATGTTAGGACTTGTATCCACTTTTGAAAGATGTTCCTGATTTCTTAAAATGAGCACTACCAGCAGCCCCGCAGAAATATATTGAATGGAACATTTGGGGGTTAAATAAAGTTTGGTTAAGTGCAACAAATTGGCCAGGAAAAGCAAGGCTACTTTCTTGCTCTTGCACTCTGTCATTTCTGCTAAAAGCCTAATCCAACGTTTTTCAATTCCCAGAGGAGGGGATTGCCATGAACACCAGATATTTAAATAAACCAATAAATTGATAAAGTAGTGTTTGCTCATCAATTATTTGTGCGGCAACTGTGAAGCCTCTATGTTCATTTTGTTACAGCTTTTTAATCCTAACAGTGAATCTGTACTAAAGAAGCTAATTGGGTGCATAATCTAAAGCTGAGCAGTTAAGCACTGAAAATCCATGTAATGGCACTTAGTCGTTACAGTTTTCCTGATTATTTGATAGGAACGATGGCCCAAATGGCTTAAACTGTTTCATTAGTATTCTCTGAGTTAGACAAAATGTTGTTTCTGAAGAATTATCAATATTAGCCGTCCAAAAACATGCACAGGGAAGGTGGTAATTCGATATTTTTGAAATCGTTTTAACAGGTTTGTTTTACAAAGGGCACATCGTAAACCTACACCATAATGCATTGCTCGTATTTCAGCCCTGCCACTGATTCTCCAGCCACCTCCTGTCTCCTGTGAGGATATATCTGAGCTAAAATCTGCTCTGATCAATTCTTGACAAAAAGAACAAATGTCAGATTTGGATCGTCTGGCTCCTTGATGCTCCGATTGACACGTGATGTTGTGGACAGATTCCAGTTAAAGGTTACAGCATGACACCGCTGGAATGACAATGATGAGGGGCGTCTGCAAGCTGGGAAAAGTTCAGATTCTTCAATCTGGAACAATCTGTACTGTTGCTGCGGGAGAATTCTTAATGTGCAGTTGGGTATGAATTGAGGTCAGAACTTGCACAACGTTGGAGGCGGCGGACGTATAGTCAGACACATGGGCAAACAGCCTGCGCTATCTAGGGAGTTAAGTGTAAGTGGATGCAATCTGATGAGGTGGACAGAAATGGACGTGAGGGTGTGAGTTCATGTTTGTGTGTATGTAGTCTATTTGAGGAAGGTGACTACCAATTGCAAGTTGCTGAGATGATGTGGCGACGGTTTTCCCTGTAAATAAAAAGGTCTTAAATCCACCTGGATCTTATTTATGCAACAGTGTTTGTAAACAACATTCTCATGGGCTTTAAGTCAAAGACGCCTGAACTACATTAACATCAAAGAAACATGTGGGAGTTTAATTTGAAAACATACTACATTAAGGGCAAAGTGAGACACGCTGTTAAGAGCAACATTTAAAATATATATATATATACAATAAATCATTAAATAGAGTATTTTCACAATGTAGTTACTTGAACAACTTGAAAGCACATATTATCACCAGAAACATATGGCATGCTTAGGTTGGTTTAAAACTCAGCTATTCTGCAGTCATTTACTGTAAATCACTTTTGCTTTGTACAAGTAAAGTAACATTAAAATCACGTGCGTACCAACTTTATAGACAGAACATTCGGCTTTGGAGATTTATTTAATTTGTCCTTTATGTAATTCTGTTGTTTATGTTTTTCATGTCGGCTTTTTTTTCCTAATAGCAGTCTGAGGAGTCTGGAAATGATGCTGTTGGACATGATTAACCAACAGCAGACCAGTGTAAATGTCTGCAGCTATACACAGTGGATGACCGGCTAATTGATTACAGCCAGTGTGATGCAACAAGGCACATTACTATGCTAATCCAGCCAGCTCTTGTGATAGCAAAGTGGTGTGCTTTGAGTGTGAGGGAGAGAGAAGGAAAATAGACAATCAAAAGAGTGTGAGACTGAGGGAAAGAGAGCAAATGAATGGCCGGCTGTCAGTGTGATCGCAGTGCATTTGTGTGCGCGCCTGTCTGTCCCATTGAGAAGCATGCAACACAAAAGCAGCAGCGAGCCGGCTCTCCTCTGCTCTCACAACATTGCTTGTCATCGGGATGACATTTGAAAACATCCTCACAGAGGACAAAAGACTAAACATTGAGTGGGTGGATTTGTCTACGGCTAAGCAAGAGCTGAAAGGTTGAGAGAGCACACTAGAAACAATGGGAATCGAAGCCCTTGGAATATGTAATCTGCCTATTAGCTTAAATTCTGTGTTAGCATTAGCATTTCAAGGTGAGCGCTGGAAAAATCCGACGGCTTTCATCCGTGGCTGAAAAAAGACTACAGATGTGTCCGGCGTCGCGGTGGTTCGTTTTCACACATGCTGCCGTCGCCATCCCCCATATCGCCACCTGCCCTCCCACCAGGAGGCCTACTAGTAGGTGCTATTCTAGTACAGCTAGCTCGGCACCCGGGCGACAGTATTTCAGTCCCGACAAGGTTTTCTTTGACGTCCTGCCCACGGAGATCAGCATGGTGCCATCTTGAGTCGCTCTCTCAGAGTGCTCAGATTGTTTGCACATTGAATTTTTTATATTTAACGAGATTGATTCAGTTTGACATAAGTGGAGCTCAGCTCTCATGCACATACATTTAAGATGATCTTTAAGTCTACCTTCTGAGATTTTCCGGGGCTAAATCCTGATGGCCAATTTAGTTGAAGTGTATGTAAGCTGTAGGTTACATTTGTAATGTTTACCATGTTTTGTGCATATCACTATTTAGTCTACTAACCATATCCATCATCTTTTCGTGTAAGCTTTTACATTTGCTGACATAAATATATATATATATATATATATGTATTTATAGAAGGACCATGCATACAAATACATTAATCTCAGCAAAGAGAAGAGATGCAATATTATAGCTAATAGCTCATTTCGATCTGTGCTCCTCAGGGTGGTTCATAACAATCAACAAACAAATAATAACATTGCATGATCTCTATCAGTCAAACAATTTTAAAACCTGATTTAAGTACAGCTCAATAAATTAATAGATAGTACACTTGAAATACACTTACATGATCTCGGTCACTCAAATAATTATAAAGCCTGATTTAAATACAGGTTACGAACATAATACTTAGTACACTTCAAATACACTTAAATAAAATATATAAGATATAGCATGACAATACAGTTCAAATAAAAAAAAAAACTCAGATTGCAGTGTAATTAATATTTGGCATCAAGACCAGATGTCCTTTGTATTGCCAGCAGCAGCCGCAGCTAATGCAGTAGCTCATAATAAGAGGAAAATATTGAAGAGCTCAGGAATCACCACATACATATGAAATGTGTGCTTGGCACTAAAATATGTTGGCATAATAAATGAAAAGGAAAACACACGCAAGAAAAAAAGGAAACAAATACATCTTGAGGATTACCACTTTGTCTACACCACCATCCATTTTTGGCAGGTAACCAGCCATCACTGTGAGCGCCTCTCTATTCTAGAAGGCTAGTTGGCCAGTATCTTACACATGACTAATCAGACCTGGTGCGCGATCCTAACACCATCACTCGTGTGGGGAAAAAAAGTTACATTTTCCACCTTTGATGTGAAGCACGAGTGCCTGACTCATGATTTTCATGGACACCCCACACAAACAACTACACAGACACACACAAAGACACACAATCCAACTTGGATTACCTCTGCTATTATTTTTGTCACCCCAGAGAACAATTCCAACACATATTCTATCAGGAAAAGGTACTGTCTGTGGGACACTGCACCACATGCTGATTTTAGAGCCGAGACATCATTTCATTTCACAAAAGGACTCCCTTGACGCATGAATCCAACGGGGATTGGCAGCACATTTATAACTGCAACGTGTGGCTGGGCAGGTCTTCAAAAAGGCTCTGAAGAATCTGAAATGTCATAAGGACTTCACTGGCAGAATCTCATTGAATCTAAGAGGGAAAGAAATGCTGAAGTAGGCTATGAAGGACATACATATGTACTGTAAGAGCGTACCTGTATCTTATCCAGTGGAGCACTTATTATACAGCTTATATTTTGCTCCATAAAGGGCGTACAAAATATTTATTTCACACATACTGGTAAAGTCGATCTTAAACAAAGGACTAAGCACTGCTCAAGAATAATTACCGTATATGTGCATTGGTCTCGTGGGGGGGAAATGGCAATTCATTTCATAATGAAATTCAATGGAATAGTTCTAATTGAAAATATCTCAAAAAACTATTTCAGTGAATCCAAGTGGTTAGTAAGTGATACCTGAGGGGTTTATTAAAAGTACTCCACACACTTTAAGATCTGATTGTCTCTTATGCACTTGAGAATAGCAACGAGCAGCAAGCATCACTGCTCTGTTGCCGACTAATTTAGCCATTTGAATGGAGTGGTATTGGTAAGAACAAAGCAGAGTCAAAGCTGAAGTAGAATCATTTCATAGAATCAGCTGAAGTGCAAACCTTGCATTTGTTATGGTGATAAAAAACAGGATATCTTTTGGTCCTTAAATATTCTTCAGAATTGCTATGCTTTGTGTACATGTATAATGTTACAGTACAAAAAAGTATTGACTCGTCATTTGTATCACTGAAATACCACTTAAAGTGTTTTTCCGAGTTGTAAAAGACGGCTTTACTTTCGCGGTATTATGCTGTATATTTTTTAACTCAGAGTAAATGAACCAAAATCAAACTCGGATGTCTTAACACAGCTCTGACAGTATGATCACAGTGGGATCAGTGACTTTATTCAATCAGAATAAAATAATGAACAGTAGTTACAGTGGAAGTTCCTGAGTGCAGCACTTCACTCATTTGAAAGAACACTGAAAGCTACTCACAGTGAAAGCTAGTTGGTATTGAGTCAAATTAGCACACTCCTGCTTTGAAGACTAGCACTTTTATGGGAGGTTGCACACACATAATTAATTACTGCTAATTGCTGTAAAAGTAGCTAATGCTGTCAACGTAGTGCTTTATTTTCAAGGAGGTCATGTCAAAGGAAATATATTAAACAAGATCATAACACTGGGATTTATATTTGACACTTTTTTTAATCAAGTGTCTAGTAGAGAATAATTTACTGACTGCACATGTGACACCCTTGCTGCGTAAGAAATGAAATCCATGTCAATGTGGAAAAGAGATTCACATCCCTGTGGTAGTACCTGAGGCCACTATGTGCTGGACAAAACCCCCTGAAGGCTTCCTAATAAATACTTTCTGGAGCTTCTGTTTACATTTCCCAACCTAGTGTTTTTCTTGACATCTGCAATTACGTGGTGAACCGGGTCTTCCCTTTTTTGCCCCTGTTGGTTCGCAACGGCCTCAGTTCCCACCCACTGACAAGCACTTGATTTAGAGTCCTCTGTGGTGATAGTGATTTATGCCTCCGCTGATGATAGGTGCGCACATACTGTTCTGTCGATACAGCTAAGACAGCTCAAGGTCATCGCACGGTTAGTATTCAATCACCACGTCTTCCGTAGAAAGTTAAACTGTCAATTCATATCCCGATTCATTCAGTCGGATCATAAGAGGTTGTTGCTTTATGCTGCCACAATTGAAATGCAAAGTTTACATTCATCCGAGCCTCAGAACGGGTACGCTGTGCCAAAGAAATATCAGGCTAGAATGCAATCATCTACTCGAGGCCATATTGAGTCAGAGCGCAATGTACCACACTTCATTAGTCAGGATAGTTTGAGCACGCTGATTAAGGGAGATGTAACTGATGTTTCAGGAGGAACACTTGGCAGTAGCTCTTATGACAAAGTAGTATCTCGCACAGCAAATTCGGATATAACCGACAATGCCCTTACAAAGTTCTTTGTGAAGTTATAGCCTCCCTGACTTGAACTGGCAAGCTCTCTGATATGCACATAGTTCATTCTATTCATCCTCTACCATTGACTGCAGGTAGATCTCATTCAGTAATCAGCCCTTAATTGTATTCACTCACAATGAAGTGATACGACTATGAAAAAAGTATTCTCAAAAGAGGTACAAAAAATGATGTTTGTCAAACTCAGTGGGGATTATATTATGGCATGCACAATTTTAGTCATGTAATTTATCCTGATGAGGTTTAGTCCTTAAAATATGCCTGCAATCTGCCACATTTAATTATCTAAAATCCTGGAGCGAATTGTCTTTTTTTCACACACCTATTTTTAGAGGGGTAGCATTAAAAACATTAAAAAAATCATCCTAAGTGTTTTAAACAGTAGCAGTTTGATGGTTGTCATGGGAAGGCTATAGAAATCATGTTGTGAGCGCGAGGCACCAGAGTGAAATTGGAGTATGATGCAGCAGGAGATCAGGCGATGCTCCAACTTTTTTTTTGTTATTATTCGCTCCTACCAAATTCCTTGTGCTCCGATCCACTCACAAGCTCTGATGTGGAATACAAGCCTCATGCATGCTGAGCTTTCCAGCGTTTCTTTTCAGCAAACAGCAAGAAGTGTCACTGCTAGGTATTAACATGTGCTGAGGTTCACACTATTTAATACCGAGCTTCCTCCTGCCAATGATGTGTGACAACTACTGTGTGAAACCTAAAACCTTAGCATGCAGTACAAGCGGTAAAGGTATGGTATAGCCACAAAAGAACAAGCATTATTATAAAGCTGTAATTTATCTCTGTCAAGAAAATAACACAGCTGGTACAATCACGACTGAGTTTTTTGGGTACGGGCCAATATCTTTAAAAAAAAATGGTGTGTGTGTGTGTGTGTGTGTGTGTGTGTGTGTGTGTGTGTGTGTGTGTGTGTGTGTGTGTGTGTGTGTGTGTGTGAAATGCAATTATAGCTAGTGGTTCCTTCAACAATTTCCAAATGTAAAATGCTTAAAATTCTGGAGCCCAATTAAAATTAAAATGCAAAATGATAATGAAACTTTAACTGACATGAAATTAAAATGAACATTTCAAACAGCAACTTGGCCGCCGCTCATTTATTTCACATCATTGTGTTTTCTGAGTCAGTAGAAGTGGCCTCATGATAACACCTGGAAATGAATATTCCACGCTGTTGTAGGACATCGGGGTCTCTCACCTGCTCTCCAGGGCCACATTGCTGCCCAGGACCCAGCTGTCCTGCAGCTGGACGCATTCCGCCGTACTCTGCAAGTCGGTCGCCAGGCCGGCTGATGGCGGCGGGCTCGGGCTCCTCTGATTGGCCAGTGAGCTTCGACTCAGGGACGTGATGGACGGATGCTGCTTGTGTGGGGGCGGGGCAGGTGGCAGAGGAGGCGGGCCTTGCTGGCAAGAAATATGGTCACCTGAAGTGAAACAGAGGGAAAGAAACATCAGCAAAATGGTTTCTGTGTTCCTTAAGTTCAATCATTTGTTTTTCAATTAAAATGAAACCCACAGTCAAGAGATATATCTCATAGACAGCAGATGGCTAAACTATGCATCTGCCTTGTGAATAACATATGACAGCACACAGCCAACCAACAGACCCAGAAAAGTAAATACAACCAAGAGCAAGACATTAAAATGAGATGCAACCACTGCAAAAAGAGGAGAAATAAGAGCTGATTTTATGGCGACACACATAATAATTGTCGCAAAACGCCACACGGCTTGACAGTTGGGTTCTCTTAAACAGAAGGTCACTTAGAGAGGCAGCTGTTCTTTTATGGGCGCTTAACGCGATGTTTCACGTTTGATTACAGCCAGAGAAGACTCTCAAATAACTAATGACCAGAACATCCATTAGAGCTCTGAGAGAACAGGTTTTCCAATTTCACACAAAGCTGTGTAATTGGCCCCCAGAATGGCATGTGGTGATTATCTATCCATCTTCTCCGTTTAAAAGGTAAAAACCCACACTGCTGACAATTCTGATTTGCTCCAATGAGCCCCAAATGGGTATCGTCTTTCTTGCCTTTGAGAGGCTCGGAGAAAATTGAGAAAGCTGAGAGTTGCGTCTTTTAAGAGCTGTTGTTTTTGCATGGACAGCATGAATTTTTATAAGGCCTTAAGGAGATAAATGTAGAGCATACAAATGCTGGAGGTCAGTTCTGGTGCATGCTTTAACCTTTGCTTCCTCAACCATGCGTAAGGACCTTGTGGGCTTTAAGCCATGGATACAAATCTGCTCTGTGCTATTAGCGAAACAGAACAACTTAATTGAAAGGACACTAGTCGTTTTTAAACACGAGCCTTTAATAACCATGCAAGTTGTTGTCCTTGTCCATGTACCTGTCCTCCTATGCATAAAACAAGATGTGCAATGATAAAACATGAGCCATGTATCAACCCTTAGATGCATAAGTGGGTCTTTTTTGACCGGGTGAGGTGGTTTTCTTGAAGTATCTTTTAATTAAATTTTTTTATCATTTCATATTCCAGCTATTCCTCAAAAAACATGTTTTGGATATCATGCCATTCTAATTTTGTATTTACATTTTAAGAAATTGTAGTTTTTGCATTACTACCCCAAGCTTCCATAAGTGGGTCAAAAATGACCCGCATGCATTT